CATCTAGATACCCACCTAGATATCCACCTAGATACACATCTAGACATCCATCTAGACACACATCTAGACATCCATCCATCATCATTTCAAACATTCAATCTGACAAAATCCAAACACATCCCCCTTCGAAACCCAGTTTTCCCTGGGGCTCCCCACTACTCTCTAAAAGGTCCCCATCTCTAGGCTTCCAGTCTCACAGCCATCACGCCACCTCTGTCCTCTTCCCCTCTAAACCATCCCTGTGCCCCATTGGCTTTGTCCTCTTGCCCTAGCTGGGCTCATATATTCTCAGCCACCAAATCCAACCTGACATCCCCAAGTCAAATCTGCTTCACCCCATGGCAGGAATAGAAACTGGGCTTCCTACCGTGAGATACCTCTGACCTCGTGTTAGCAATGTGCTAAGACTGATCTGAGGACATGTAATGGTAGTGCACTAGAATGGAAGTGCTCCTGCAGGCAGAAACGGGCAGTCTGGGGAGGGAGATCAAGCCAAGACCATGAACTCTGCCACCCTCTATCTCCCAGGACCACTGCTGTGGTATCTTCATCCTCAAACACATAGTTCTGTTATAGATCACCTCTCTTACTCTTCTCTCAATACTTCTCAAGCCTAGGGTTTCATGAAGTCATACTCCCATCTCCAGCAGCTAGAGGCTCTGCCTTATCCACCACAGCCTGGGCACGGGTATCTCCCTCAGGGAAGAACCCCTGACAACTCCGACTTCTCAGTAACCCCAGGGTCTGACACTCAGCTGTGAGGTGGTGGGGACAGCTCTTCCTAACATGGGTAGACTGTTGCCAGGAGAAGTACCATCCTTCGCTGAGCACCTGCTACGTGCAGGGCATTCTGCACTCATGCTAGACCAGCTGAGCCCCCCACTCCAGCCTCCTTCCAGCCCTCAGCATAGGCATCTTTAAGTCACCAGTGAGACTCCCAGCTTTCCTTCCCAGGAGGACAGATCCTACCATCGATCCTTGTGGGGAATCCCCCATTCCTGATATCCACCAAGCAAGATATGTTGAGCAGGGACCTAAATTCGCACTGCCCAGACAGGTGCTACAGTTTGGTTTTTCAGTAGTACTAGGAATCGAACCCAGAACCCACAAATACTAGGTAATGAGCTGTGTGCCCTAGCTGCTTCTTTTTATTCAAGATGGAGTCTTGCTAAGTAAGTTACACGGGCTGCCCTTGAAGGCTCTATCATCTCGCTTTGGCCTCCCAAGTAGCAATGATAACAGGTTTGCAGCACCTGGCCTGGCTCTGGTAGTGATATTTTTTGGGGGAGGGTCTTCTATAGCTCTAGTTGACCTTGAACTCAATACATAGCTGGTGATAGCCTTAAGCGCCTGATCTTCCTGCCTCTGCCTTGTGCACCCTGGGTTTACAATGTTCCACCATGTCCAGTTGTTACTTTGAGACAGGAGCTCAGTATGTAGCCCTGGCTAGCCTGGAACTTAAACTGTAGACCAGGCTTATCTCACAGAGATTCCGCCTGCCTTCCCCTCCCAGGAATTGCTGGGATTGAAGGCTCGAGCCATGGTGCCCACCATTATACCCCACCTCCGCTGCCTCTCCCAGCTACCACACTGGGAATTGAACCCAGAGCTTCCTGCATGCTAGGCAAACACTCAACCCAGTGAGCTATGTCCCCAGCCCCAAGTAATGACTTTTATTCCAGATTTGTCCCTGAGAAAAAAAGAGACTGAGTGGAATACAGTCACCTGTCTAGGTCACCTGACACTTGGGACAGAGCAAGCCTAAGGCCCAGGCTTCCCTTAGCCCCAGGCCTATCCTCTTTCCCTGCACCAAGGGTTCTCAGCCACCATGGAGCCCCTCCAGCCCTGTAGGCTGCTGCCTGGACCTGGCCACAGGCTCCAGGGGTGTCCCAGTGTCACAGTAACAGCCCTCCTTATTTAATCTCTACCTCCCCATAGCTCGCCTTCCTCCGGGGTGTCTGTTTATCAGACCAGCAGCACCGGCTCAGACTCTAACAGTCTGTCTCCTCGGCGTGGCCCATTAATCTGGGCCATGGTACCTGCGCGCAGGCATGTAATAAACAACTTAGAGCACACGTTTATGGATTCAGCTATATCAGCAGCTTTCAATCCGACCGCACTTTATGGCACCTACATGAGACTTTATATTGTTGCAATTACTCTGCTTTATATGCCGCCTTCTTGCCCGTTCATTTTCCTTTATTTTTACATTTTATTCCTATTCTTCCTTGGCTGATTCTAACAAGGCCTAGAGCTCTGCCAGGAAACCTGCCTGGGGCCGGCCAGAGCGGCTCACAGTGGCTACAAGAATACAATGTGCCTTCCTCTTGGCCCACAGAGGATCACCCCCACACCATCACCTACACCTGTGCCAGCTGTCACAGCGGGCTCTCTCTAAAGAGTCCTGGAAGGAAGCCAACTAGATAGATTTGTCGTCACACAAGAAAAAAGTTCTCTCCGGGTGTATTTTAAGAGCCCAGAAGAGATGCAGAGGGGATGCTGAGGCTGTAGACAGTATTGGGCCTATGCTGGCCCAGCAAGAGGAGCCAGGCACCTCTGAAAGGGCCCAGAATACACAGAAAAACCATGAAACCACCCTGTCCACAGCAAGGGGTATTTTTTTTTTGCCTTTTATTTCATAAGCCCATTCACAAAAGCCCTATTTCATTTCATCCCGTATCCCCAGAGGTGGACAATGACAACTGCTGCACCACAGTTCTTCAGTCACGTAAGGGTGTTTGCACACACCTACCAACCACCATGTGCCTGCTCCCTGCTTGAGACGTGGTAGCCACCAGGGCTAAAACATCAGCTCAGAGGCCTGTGACAAAGCTGTATGTCCAGCCTTAAGCTGCATGTATTGACACAGTCACGGGTCTGGAGTCGGAGACTTTAAGGTCAGGGAGTCGCAAGGCAGGGCTGGAGAGGGTATAGCTCCTGACTGGGACACAATTGCCTGCTCACTCTCTGAGTCCTCGTGTGGCTGAAGAGGAGAGGAAGTGGGGGAAGCGGGAAGAAGCGGAGACAGAGAAGTAAGGAGCAAGAGAGAGACATGGAGGGAGAGAGGGAAGAAGAAAAGGTAGTACAAGAGAGAGAGGTGATAAAGAAGAAAGAGGCAAGAGAGATTGAGAAGAGGACATCTAAGAGAAGCGAAAGGGACAAGAATTAAACAAGAGAAAGTGGCTGAAGGTGCTAATTCCATGGTCATACCCCACAAGCCATACCCCACAAGCCTAGCCAAGTCTCCTCAGCTTCGGCAGGCTCACCTCCAATGCCATTGTATCAGCATTAGGGCCTCCAGACTATGAGCCATCAGGAGACACAATTCGGCCCACAGCCAACACCATCTCAGCCTCCATGGCAACAACTGGACTGGCCCCTTGTGGTCACCGTAACAGCATGCCACCACAGGGAGGCTTATCATGCGAACCGACTCTTTCATGGGTCTGGAGATAAAATCTGGCCTCAAGGAGTCGTGAGGTCCCCATTCCCCTTGAGAGGTGCTAGGGGGGTGTCTCTGTAGCCTCTTCCAGTCCTCGAAGCTGGCATCCCTTGCACTCCCTTCTCGGCTCCGGTCTCCACCGCTGCCTTTGCTTGGCTGCTCCCCTGTGAGTCTTGTTCTGGAGTCCCTGACTCCTATGCAGAAGGATGTTGTTCCCACTGGATAGAGATTTTTGCCTCCACTGCATTGTGATCTCAGCTGAACCAGTTACAAGGTCTACAAAGACCCTGTTTCTAAACGAAGCCACACCTACAGCTGCTGGGTGGTCCTGAACCAGGGGAGGGGACTCCTGAGAGAATTCCCACCCTAAAGAGATGTAAAAGTCCCCCCCCCCCATCATAAGGCCTCAACGACAAGCCAAAGTACAACTCCACCAAAGTTTCCCCGGGCGTGTTATGTGCTTTTCATTGCTCTGGCCCAACATTTTGGGTGTATGGGTTCAGAGGGAGTCTCTAAGTGACAGTCAGGCCAGACAGCAGGTGACTGGAGCAGAGAGCCAAAAGAGCATCACGTCTTTTAAACTCAAACACGAAACAGAACAAACTGAAAGGTGAGGGAGGCCACACCCCCTATAACCTCCCCCAAGTAGTGCCACCCACTGAGGGCCAAGCGTTCAAACACGTGAGCCTATGGGGAACATTTCTCACTCAAACCCTCACACCAGAAAACCAATGAGCTTACTAGACCTATTTACAGAGCATAGGAGGGGTTACTGACGGGAGCTTGGGGACCCCAAAGGAGCCATATTGGAAAGCCTTCACCCAACATGGATGATACTTTTCCTATAGCTTGTAGCCTCTTTCAGTTAATTTTTCTAAGACTATAGACTCTACCACCGCCAAAGACCCTGACCCTGAGGCCTCCTGAAATTTGGGTTTAATTGCAAAAGATGGCGAGGAGGAGCAGCCAGGATCTCAGCCCTGCCCCTTCCTTCTCTAAGGGAATCTCAAATGTCTACCGACCTGAGTCCAGCTGGCTCTCACACTCAGCAGGTGCAGCTGAATTGAGGAAGATGGCAGCTGTTTCTGTCGGAGGGCTGTGTTTTCCAACAGGGAGAAACACCACTGTATTCAATGCAGAGAGTGTGTGGTCTGGCACGGGGCGGGGGCAGGGCGCGGCAAAGATGAAGTAGATCAGTGAGGTAAACTTAGGCGAGAGGGAGTGTTTTGAAGGTAGTGGGACCCGATAGCAGTCAGTGGAGGGGCGTGGTTGACTTGGGGGCGTGGTTGACTTGGGGCGTGGTTGACTTAGGGGCGTGGTTGACTTGCAGAAGGACTCTGGAGGCCTTTGAGAACAGAGGACCTCCCAGAGAGTCCCGACACTTCAACTCATGAGCAGAGGAAGAAAAAGCCTCCCAGATCTGCCCAGAGGGGCAGCTGCGGGACTTCCTGTACAGCTACCTACTCTGCACCTTAAGGAGTAAGGTCTCCTTGTACCACGTGAGCGGGCAGAAACAGGTTTCTGACTCCGCCCTCCTAAACACTTCACCTCTTCCCAGATGTTGGGGGGCCTGCTGACCCCATTGCACCAACCATCATCATCCCACCCAAGAACACCAGTGTTGTAGCTGGGACCTCGGAGGTGACCATGGAGTGTGTGGCCAACGCCAGGTAGGTGGCGCATCTTTGATCCCTTACTAGAACTGTAGCCAGGAGCACGGTCCTCTTTGAGCAAAGTCTAGCCGCCTGGTCTGATAAGGGACCTATGAGAGCAGGGGAAGAGGGGTGGGTGGCCATTGCAAATCCAGAGCACAGTCTAGCAAGCTCAACAGGGTTTCTTGTTCTTGCATGTACAAGAGGAAAGTGTCAACCCTAGTGAGCCACTGGGAAGCAGATTTAGCCCAGGCTATGGGGCCAGAGGGGAACTCTCTCTGTTTCTAACACAAAGCCATCCAGAGCGGGGAAGATGGTCCCTCGGAGAAGACCCCCTTCTACATGTGGGGTGCAGAAGATGATACACAGAGTGGGTACAACACGGACTTCATGAAGCACTATTGTGTCCCTCCAGTCCCTCCCAGAGGAGACTGTTAGATTGTCCCCAAACACCCTCCTAAGAGGGCTGTGTAGTGAGAGTTTCCCACAGGGCCTCCTTTTTCCCCAACATGACGGAAGTGTCAAGAGCCTACAGGACAGAGAGGGCAAGAAGTCTGGCCCAGTCACCCAAATGGCCAGTAACAATGCTGAACTGAAGCCAGCTCCCCCAGAAGCCCAGCTCCCTGCCCCACAATGGGCCTCAGTCTGCTCATCTATAAACTGGGTGTGACCTGGCACACACCACACTATAAGGCATGCAGGAAGAGTACTGACCCCAGCCCACCCTGCCCATGTAATCTATAGAGAAAAAGTCATGTTACCATTATGGAATTTGACTGTGGTCCCAAGGTCCCCTGAGGATTCTAGGAGGGCCTAGTCCCCACAGCACTGTCTGTGAGAGCATGCTTCTTCACAGAACCCAGTCCTTTCACAAAGGTGGGAAATTTGGCCAGAATGTATGTTAAAAGCCTGAGAGATCCTGCAGCCAAGGCCCTGCCTGTGTTTCCCACACTTACATACCCATGGAGAGCCTTTTCTAGAAGATTCTGAGTGCCCCCCAAACAGCTAGCTCCACTCCACTTAGGGAGGTCCATCCTTAGAAACCACTAGGTTCTGGGAAGGAGTGTCAGAGCAAACCAGATCCCGAAGCCCGTGATGGTGGGAAGGGGTCCACATGCTCCCTGCCTCTCAAAGGTGAAGGTGGTCTGTCTGTCTGTCTGTCTGCCCCTGTATCTGTGTCATATCTGTTCTTCCCACCTCCCCTAATCCTCCACTCCTCCCAAATCAAGGAAGGGAAAGTTCAGTTCCCAGGGAGAGTTCAGCATATAACTTAGGCTAGCCCCCAGGCTCTCCTAGAGATATGTGTGCAATTATACCGTTGTGTCCCGGCCCTGTTGGGAACATTCTCCATGACTGACATTCATAACCACCCAGAGCCGCTACACTTGCCCCCATTCTACAGATGGGGTGCTAGCCACACCAACGCCAATTCCATCCCTGCTCCTTCCCACACTTGCCCCATCCCCCATGGTCCTTCCAGAAGCCCTTGACTGAAAGCAACTGCCTCCCTCACCTTGTAGGCCTCTGATCAAGCTGCACATCGTGTGGAAGAAAGATGGGGCTCTGCTCTCCAATGGGATCAGTGACTACAACCGCAGGCTCACCATCACCAACCCCACAGTCAGCGACGCCGGGTACTACGAGTGTGAGGCCATGCTGCGAAGCAGCAGCGTGGCCCCTGTCACCCGGGGCGCCTACCTCTCAGTGCTGGGTGAGTCCAAGCAAGTGCTGGTGTTCCTCTGCTATGGGAGAGGGAGGGCACAGCAGTGTGGGCTGGTGCCATCTCCACAGTGACTAGATATAAAAGCAGTAAGCCTCTAATCCTGTCTCCTGCTCCTCCCCGTGCAGAGCCACCTCAGTTTGTCAGAGAGCCTGAGAGACACATCACAGCCGAGATGGAGAAGGTGGTAGACATTCCCTGTCGAGCTAAAGGTAACACCAAGGCATGCGTGTGGAGACCTTCGGCTACCGGGACATCTCTAAGCCCCACCTCCCTCTCCAAACCACATGGCTAAGCAGTGACAGGCTGGCTAGGATCTAGCACCCAGGAAACAAACAGCCAAATTACCGTAATCTCAGACTGCAAATCAACCCACGTAACTCCAGAGTTACAAATGAGCCCAAATTACCGTAATTTCAGGACAGGTGACAGACCCAAATTGCCCATAATTTGAGAGTTGTAGACAATGTCGAATCACCGTTTTGCCAGCACCCGCAGACCTGGTGTGTCTCACCTGAACGGGTGCCATCCACTCAGCCCATTTGAGAGGGGGGGTACCTGACTTGGTCCTCGTCCTCTGCTCATTCTACTTAGCCCTCTGTCACAGTTTCCAGTCCTTACTGCCCCCATCCTGACAGAGCCAAACCTGAGGGATAGCCAGGGGATAGAGGGTTACAAAGGGCTATCGCATAGTGTGGGGACTCAAGCATCTTGGCATCTAGAGGCTGGGGCAGAAAGATTGCTGTGAGTTCCAGGCTGTCCAGAGAATAGGGACTCCTGAGCAAGGGGTCTGATGTAGCCCCAGTAGTGAAGAGGGGCTTCTGGAACTGAAGCTCTTCTGAGACTCTTAGGCAGAGGCCTATGGGAGCAGAGGGGTGACAGGTAGACACTGCTGTCACATAATCTCAGCGGGATCTCTTGTTCTTGGCCGCCCAAGAGGAGTGACCAGGCTGACTTTACAGAGGGACCACCTAGCCCAGTACCTCCTGTTTTCCAACGTACACATTTGCAAAGAGAGGAAGAAGCCAGTAAACAAAGATGCCTTATTTCGCCTCATTCAAAACGCTGTGAGCAGTGAGATGCCCCAGTATTTTATGTGCCACTAAGAAAGAAACAAGGCTGCCAATTAAACTGCGACATGCTGTCGATTGTAAGCCACACCCTGACCCTCCATCACGTTGCAATGAATAGCAAAGAATTGTTGTCATACAGTGGATGAAAAGCGGTGACGGTGACGGTGATGGCTGAATGCAGGGTGGAAGGGAGGGGGGAGGCTGCAGTGCTGTGTAGGGCACCCCTGGGGAAGTTAAGTTTGAGCAGAGGCAGAGAGGCAGAGGGCAAACGAATGGGAGCATGGGAAGAGCTGAGGGACACCTATGCGGAGAGAGAACCAGTCCAAGAGATGGAGAACTCCATCTTCTTCTGTCTGCAGACCTGAGATGGGACGTGGGGGAACCTCCCAAGGAACAGAGGCCTCTCTGCCTGCTTCTCTACCTGGGCTCCATAGCGGGGATTGAGTACTGCTCTTGGAGGTTAGCACAAGACACAGAAGGGGGAGCCAAGCATTGCAGTAAAAAAATTAAAGACACACCTGCCATCCCTGCTCAGGAGGCTGAGGGAAGAGAGTTGACATAAGTTCAAGACAAGCCTGGGCTAGAGAGCAGGGCCTTGTCTTAAATATATAATAGTAATAAGGAAAGTGGAAGAAGAGGAAGGGGAGGGGATGAGAAGGAGGAGGAGGAAGAGGAAGAGAAGGAAGAGGAAGAGGAAGAAGAAGAGGAAGAGGAAGAAGGAGGAGGAGGAGGAAGAGGAGGAAGAGGGGGAGGAAGAGGAGGAGGAGGAAGAAGAGGAGGAGGAAGAGGAGGAGGCAGAAGCAGGCATTGAAGAGGAAGCCAGGGATGGAGAGTTAGCTCAGTTGATAGTATTTGAATAGCATGCATGAAGTCCTGGGTTCAATCCCCAACACTGTACCAACCAGGCATGGTGACACACACCCAGGCATGGTGACACACACCCTTTGTAATACAATATTTGAGAGATTAAGGCGGGATCAAAAAAAAAAAGTCAAGGCTATCCTCCACTACATAGAGAGTTCAAGGCCAGCCTGGGATATGTGAATCCCTTTCTCAAAAATAACAATAGGGCCTGGAGAGATGGCTCGGTAGTTAAGAGCACTTGTTGCTCTTGCAGAGGACCCAGGTTTGACTCCCAGCACCCATGTAGATGGTTGACAAGCGTGCATGATTCCAGATGTCCTCTTCTCAACTCTGTGAACACCCATCACACACATGATCACATACATCTATATAAGAAGAATATGCACACACATAAAATAAACACACTTTAAAATAATAATCCTAATAGAAGCTGGAGAAAGTGCTCAGAGGTTAGGCGCTCACAGTGCTCTTGCAGAGGACCTGGGTTCGGTTCCTAGCAGTCACATCAGGAAACTCACAACCTGTAGCTCCAGGTCTGGATGGAACGGATGCCTCTGACTTCCTCAGGCACCCTTACACATACATGCACACACACGTGCACACACACAATTTAAAATGAAATAATTTTTTGTCTGTTTGTTGTTTGGTTTTTTTGAGCCAGGGTTTCCCTGTGTAGCCCTGGCTGTCCTGAAGCTCTCTTGTCCATAGACCAGGCTAGCCTCCAACTCAGAGGTTCTCCTGCCTCTGTCTGAAGTAACTCAATAGTAATAGGGACAGATGAGATGCCTCTTTGGCTAAAGGTGCTTGCCAAAAACCCTGACAGTCTGGGTTCAATCCCTGGAACCTACATAAATGTGGAAGGAGAGAACTAACACCACAACACTGTCCTCTGGCCTCCACCTGCATGCCCGAACCCATAAAAATAAATAAAAATGCAAACAGTAGTAATAATGAACCCCCCCTCTAAAGACTGCCCGGTGAAACATTTCTCCAGAAAACTGATTCTAGATTTCCATTTTCTGAAAAATCTCTATCCCAAATTTTTTGAGACTTTTAAAAGAACCTACTCCATAAAAATGATGCCTATGAGCACGTTCTAGAATGCAAGGCACCCTAGAACCTCCTGCAGACTCTGGCCTGGGATGGGGCAAGGTGGTTGACTGTGTCCCTGGCCTTCTGCAGGGGTGCCGTCTCCCTCCATCACCTGGTACAAGGACGCTGCGTTGGTGGAGGTGGGAAAGCTAACACGCTTCAAGCAGCGTAGCGATGGCAGCCTGCAGATCAGCAGCCTGCTGCCCGATGACACCGGCATGCTCCAGTGTTTTGCCCACAACGCAGCTGGTGAGGCCCAGACCTCTACCTACCTGGCCGTCACCAGTAAGTGTCCTCCCCTGTGCTGCCTCTGAGCCTCCCCATGAGGTACATCATAGCGTCCCTCCACACTGCCAAGGAGCATGGTAGGGTGGGCCTGCACTGTGGTGGGATTCTGGGAGGCTATCGCATGTGACACCAGCTCGTCACAACCCCTCAACACAGCATCTGGTCAACTGAAAGGAGCCCTGCTCACTCGTGGTCTTTTCCTTGAGTCCTGGAGCCATTGATGCCCTTGGAGAAAAGCCAGTTCCAAGTGATGTGTCTGCTGACCTCGGGTTAGAGGAGTCACCTAGGGTTCTGGAGACTCAGCACAAAGGCAGCTTTTAGCTGCTTGTTCTTGCACAAAGTAGCGCATGGTCAATGGAGGTCAGGTCCCACTGACTTTGTCCCTGGGGGTGTGAGCTTCTCTGTGTCCTCAGTTTCCCCTTAGTCTGAGGTTCCAGAGGGCAGAACTCTCTTGACAGGTACCTGGGAGGCCCTCTCATGGGCCTCCCTGCAAAAGGCCCTGTCACACCAGGGCCAGCTGGTGGAGGGAAGGACCTGTCTTTTTTGTCAGCTCTGAGATCTTAGCTGCTAGCTGGGGACCTTCCTAGGTATTGCTAATAGATCCCTCTGTCTCCCTCCACAGGCATCGCCCCTAATATCACCAGAGGGCCCCTTGATAGCACAGTGATTGACGGCATGTCGGTGGTCCTGGCATGTGAGACCTCAGGGGCACCACGGCCTGCTATCACTTGGCAGAAAGGTAGGCTGAAGGGTCACTCAGAGGACATAGCCACGTGAGAGTCTAGGAAAGTCTTCGACTCTGAGTTCCGGAGCGAGCGGGATTGAGCCTCCCCACTTGCCGTTGTAAAGGCTGGACAGTGTAGCACCCACCTTTCACAATCCGAATTGCTCTGTTTTTCTATGTCTCTGTCTCTCCCAAGCTAGACCCAAGACCTCCTATGTCCCTCTGCGAGAGGTCTATCTATCTCAACCTGGTCGTGTCTCTATGCATCTGCCTGTCTGTCTATCGATCTATCTATGTATCTCTATCTCTGGGTCACGCCTCCCCTGCACTGCCCTGAGACACCCTTCATCCATCCCTCACCTCCTCTGAAGGTGATTCTCCAAAACCGTCCCTTCCTAGGCAGAGATACCCATCATCACCTCGTCAGCCTGTCTGCCCTCTCCTCTCCCCAGCCCAAGTGCAGCTGCCCCCAGGCCGTGGCTGGCTGACTGCAAGCAGCCCCAGCAGACAGAGTGTGGCCTCATCTGGTGATGGGCAGACATGGTGGTGGGTGGCGGAGTGGCAGAAAGGGTGGTAGAAAGGGTACTGCTGCCCTGTGAGCCTGTGACCCTGAGACTGAGTCTGTCACCAAGCCTCAGCTCAGCCTGTCTTTAACAGTTCATTTAACATTTCCAGAGATGGGTGGGTGCCCGAGACCGTCCAAAGCTGGAACATTTAGAGCCAATATCGAGGCTTCATCTGATATCCCATAAAACCCTCTGTCACTTCAGGGGAGCGCATCTTAGCCAGTGGCTCTGTCCAGCTGCCCCGCTTCACCCTGCTGGAGTCTGGCAGCCTGCTCATTAGCCCAACCCATATCTCGGACGCTGGTACCTACACCTGTTTGGCCACCAACTCTCGGGGAGTGGACGAGGCCTCCGCAGACCTGGTCGTATGGGGTGAGTGACCATCCGTAGGGGTGGGCTGCCAGCATCTGCACTTCCATACTGTGTTGCTGACACAACCAAGGCTCTTCCTGTCACGAGGATGATGACAAATTAACTCAGAAGCCAAGAACCAGAAGGTGATGGCCCTGCCACCAAGGCCACCGGATGGAGAGGTCGTGCCATGCTTGGCGGAGTCCAGAGAACTATTTTTTTAAAACCTGTCTTGTGTATTTTAGGGCAAAAATCAACACAGGGCCAGAGAGTAAATATTTTTGGCTCTGCGGGCCAGACGTGTCCATCACGGTCCCTCTCCTACCCTTGTGCTGCTGAGAAAGCAGCCAAGACATTAGTGTCGTGAAGGTGAGGCCCATCGAGGTGGGCTTCTCTATTCAGTATGCTACTTGCCATTATCAGCCTGGAGAGAAGCCAGCAGATCCCTCAAGCCTCTTCTACTTGAGGCGTGCACCCAAGACATAAGGGTTTATGGCCACCTCTCCAAGCTGAGCCCTAGGGAGTGAGTGGCTAGACCTTGTCTGTCACCAACAAGCTGGCCTGGTGGCTCTGGTCACTCTTAACTTGCAGTTTCCATTCCCTCTGTGGCACTGAGTCCTCACCATGTTTGTGGCTTCTGAGAATCACAGTGTCCCTGGGACACTTTGTCCTTTCCACTCTTCTAGGACTTCTTTGTGACACACACCTGTCAACATATGAGATCATCCTCTCCCAACATCCAAATGCACAGCTCTAAGTGTGTTCCTCCCCTGCCTGGCCCTCCTATGGTGCCATCCCATCATCCCTGCCCACTAAACACATCCCTGACGTCATATCCCTGCTCGCTGCACCTTGTCTTACAGCCCGGACACGTATCACGAAGCCACCCCAGGACCAGAGCGTCATCAAGGGCACCCAGGCCTCCATGGTGTGTGGAGTGACCCACGATCCCAGAGTGACTGTCAGGTACTCTGCACAAAGTGGGAGGGGATGCTTATAAGACAGGATGACAGCATCGGAGAGTTGATGCCACCTGTAAGGCCGTGTCTCACCTTAAGGGCTGTTTCCAGAGCTGGGTACATGGGCTGAGATGGAGAAGAGGCTCAGTGCCTAAGGGCCATGCTGTGTGAACTGTGTTGAGGCAGAGTTCTGAGGCAGGAAATGGAAGGCAGAGAAATAGAGCGAGGAGGAGGACTACGGGAATGACTCAGTGCTAAGAACACTTATGTGTAACCACAAGGACCTGAGTTCAAATCCCCGTACCCAAAATCAGGGCACAGCTACTTACATACCTCTAATCCTAGCACTGTGGAGAGGCAGAGACGGGGTTGTTGGAGCTTTCTCCAGCCTACTGAGGTTCAGTGAGAGACACTGTCTAAGAGTATGGAAGAAAATTACAGACAGAAAACCTGTATGCATATTCATACACACCATACACATATTATACACATACACTACACACGAAGAAAAAGAGCAACAAGAGAGGAGGGAGGCAGGGAGGGAAGGAAAAAGGTATTTAGGATGAAGAGCTAGAAGACTCCTGTTGCGTGCTCCCCACTTTTTAAACCCCCCTCCAACTAACCTCATGTGAATGAGTTAGTTTAAGCACCTAAGGTTTTCATGTCCTATTTTCATATTCATAGTGGAGCTGTCTAGGCAAGGCGACACAGAGGTGATCAAAGGGCTGAGACAGGAGCCAAGCTCAGGGGATGACCCCGGCAGAGGGCACGTAAGGGGGAATGCTTAAATGGAAGTTACCCACTGCCCCTGTGGGAAAGCCAGGACCTGGACCCTCGAGATGGTCAGGCCCTCGAGGGCCCAGTGTGGGTGTATCAGCTGGGTGTCTGTGGACCAAAGCTTCCACATACCCAAGCTCCAACAAGGACACCCAGGGTACTCCCAAATCGTGAGATGATCTGGGAGCTACAACCAGGAGCGGTGTGCTGTGTCCCTTTGTGCTCTCCTGAGGGCTCCGGAAGGCTGGGGAGTCAGCATAACTGCTTCTTTAGAAGATTCCAGCAGGCTACTGTCTAGCTAATGAGTAGTAACATTGTCACACAATTGCCACGGAGGCCAGGAGGGGCGGGCTCTCCTGCCTCCACCAGACATGGCCTCCGTAAGCCTCACAATGGTGTCCTGGGGCGCCACCTGGTGGTCACTGAACAGAGGACAGTCTGCTAGTCAGTATAATAGAGTTCTGAGGAACCTGGATTGCAGACACCAGGCTAGCTCCTTAGGCAACACTTTGCCTGTCCAGGCTAAGAAACACTTCATGAAGTGTACAATATTGACCTCTAGGGCATTGTCACATGCCAGCAGAGGCACATACATGAGCCGTGAAATCACACAGAGGTAGTCAGACTGTTGGCAGACTGACTTCAGGATCTGTCGTCCTGGCTTTATCAGAGTTTTCTCTAAAAGAAAAAAATTAATAAAGTAATTGTGAAAATGTCCTCAGAGAGAAGCCATATCCATGCCACTCCCAAGTCACAGTCTGGCACGACAGATATAGAAAATGTCCTTTCTACATCCACTAGTTGAAAAACACCGGAATAGCCACTATGTTACCTCAGCAACTGTTTCCATTATTTGTGTGTGGGTATGTGTGCCTATGTGTGCATTGTGTACCTGTATGTGCATATGTGTGCATATGTGCTTCCATATGTGTATGTGCATATATGTGTGTGCAGGTGTGTGTGTGTGCATTGTGTACATGTGTGCATATATGTCTGTGTATGCATACGTGTGTGTGTGTGTGTGTGTGTGTGTGTGTGCGCGCGCGCGCAGAGAAGAAGCCAACATCAAGTATCTCTCTATCAGTCTCCAAGAGTCTCTCACTGAACCTGGAGCTCACAGCTTTACCCAAGGCCAGCCCTCTGTCTCTGCTCTTAGCCTGTGCTCCTTGGGCAGTGGCAGCCCCTGCTGTCCTCTGCAGCCTTGAGATTACATAGGGGCAGGGGGCACAAATCTCAGTATTTTTAAAGCTGCCCAGTGATTCTGATATTCTTCCAGAAACAGGATATTCTAGCTACAAAGCACAACGGGGTCCCCTGAGCAGACTAGAAAGGGAGAAACAGCTCATATTCAAGCACTGGCCGCTCAAATCCCAAGTGATGTGTTGTCAAGACAAAGCCGGGCCCCAGTGGTGAGGCCCAGACAGCTGCGAGCTGCCTGCCATTCTCAAAGAATCTATTTGGTGTCTGGGTCCAAATCTAGACAGGACATGAACAATCCACTTTGAGACATTACTACTCTTAATAAATGCTTTCTTATGCATTTACCATGTAATGAATTTATTACATTGCAGGAGGAAAATTCAGATCAGGAAAAAAAAAAGGATAGCGGAAAAACACATGTAGAGTTAACTGTTCCTCTTAATTAGACACCATTGGTAATGATATTTGAGGTCCATTAAAGAAGCCAGACGCACTCTAGTCTCTAATCTTTTTCCCTTACGGACCTGCTGTGCCCCTAGTGTCATGTCAATAAATATGTTTTCATCAACTCAATTACCAGATTGCTTGGAGTCCACTGTCTGAGGGAAACGGTTTGCCAGTTCACAGCGACTGCATTTTTTTATTAATTATTATTTCTAAATTTTTGCTAACATGGAGAAATCTCATTAAGAGCATCCTGCTAATCACTTTTTTTTTACACATCTCTGATTTGCTAAAAATTGGCTGATGTTATCTAAAACCAAAAGGGTCTCCGAAAGACCACTGGTCAGATGAGTTAATGGTCACATTACATAACCGGATTATTCTGAAATTTTTCTACCCTAATGAGGTGAAGAGACTTGGAGGTTATTTATTTTTATTTGTTTCAAGTTTGATTTATGAAAAATGATGCTAAGAGTGTGATATGGATAGAGGGGTGTGTGTGTGTGTGTGTGTGTGTCTGTGTGTGTGTGTCTGTGTGTGTGTTTGAGATAGGCTCTTGCTATGTAGCCCAAGATGGGCTGAAACTTTCAGTCATTCTCCTGGCTAAGTGTATATTTTGTTTACTTTTGTAAGAAACCACTCAAACCAGGAATGATGGCACACACCTTTAATCCCAGAACTCGGGAGGCAGAGGCAGACAGATCTCTGTGAGTCCGAGGCCAACCTGGTCTACATAGCAAGTTCTAGGCAATCCAGAGCTACATACTGAGACCCTGTCAAGAAAATGGGAAGGGGGTGAGAGGCAAACACCCAAAGTGTCTTTCAGAGGCGTGGTACACATCTTGGAGGAGGGGGCATTCCCCTGGCAGACGCTGGGTGATGTTGGCCATTCTACTGTTTGTGGTGTGGTTCTTGTTGCTGTTCTGAAGTAATGAATGAAAGAATGAAGAATGAAGTTTTATTCATTCATTCATTCATTCATTCATTTAAAATTATGTGCATATGAGGCAAGGGCAGGGGTTATATATCTGTGTGTCCAGTACCCATTAATCCCGCCAGAGGGCACCAGATCCTTTGAAGCTGGAGTTGCGGGCAACTGTGAGCCTCCTGCCTTGTTTGGTTCTAGGAACGGAGCTCCAGCCTTCTTCAGTAGCAGAGTCCGCTCTAGAATAGAGTCTTTCCAGGAGACGAAGAGCCTAGGAGACAAAGATCTCATTTCTGTTTCCCTCTGCGTGTGTCTTCATCGGGGAGGTATCTGCCAAGGACTTCAGCCCAGTTTTTAATCAGGCTGTTTGTTTTCTTAGGGTTAAGTTCTAAGACGTCTCTGTATATTTTGGATAACAGTGCCTTATCAGATATTTGTCATGCAAACATCTTCTCCCGGCCCGTGGCTTCTCTTTTTAGTCTCTTGGCAATATCTGTGGAAGAGTAGAAAATTTTAATTTTGACAAAGTCCATCTCATCAATTTCTCTCCCCCCGCTCCCAACCAGGGATCAGGCCTTCGGTGTAGTATCTGGAGTCAGCACCAGAGGCCAGGCTTTCTAGATTTCCTACTACCTCCTAGCAGCTGCGAGATTCCGAAATGTGCATTTAGGTTTGTAGCCAACTTTGAAATAAAGTTTGTAATAGGTCTGAGGCTTGTAACTACAGCTGGCTGTAACCATGATGTCCAGTGACTCCAGCATTATTGTTGAGGGGACCTTTTTTTTTTTAATTTTTATGCTCATCTGTTGCTGCTGCTGCTGCTGCTGCTGCTGCTGGTGATGATGATACTGGGTGGGAATTTTTACGTTGTGTGTGGGGTGGGAGGCATGTACACACGTGGAAGTCATAGGACAACCTGAAGGAATCAGTCCTCTCTTACCACCACGTGGGTCCTCAAGTCATCTGCTGGCCAGCAAGAGCTTTACCCGCTGAGCCATCTCACCAACTCTGGTTTTGTGTCATTGAGTCTGTAGAAATCTGATTTCATCACCCAGGAATCAATAAACCATTTCTATAAAGGGCCAGAGGGGGATGGCTTAGGCTTTGAGAGCCACGTGGTCTTTGACATCGCTGCTCAACTCTCTCTGTAGATAATATGTCCACAAGTAAGCGTGCCCGTGCTACAGTGAAACTCTGTAGAGGGGCTAGAGGTGCGGCTCAGCTGCCGCTGCTCTTCCAGAGGACACGAGCTTGATTCCCGCCACCCGTGTGGCAGTTCACAATTGTGACTCCAGTCCTAGAGAATTCAGTGCCCCCTTCTATCCTCGCCAAACACAAGACACACATGTAGTATACATATGCATGCAAGCAAGCACACACTCATACACACGAAATACAAATAACAAATCTTGAATTTTAAACAGTTTAGGTATGCAAGCATGTAATGGACCGTGATCCCCTGACCCCACTGTGGAAGATACTACATTCTGGATTTGCCGTATATTTAGCCAACCTATTCTTCCATCCCTTGTATTTCTAATTAGAATCAAGTACGTATTAATTACATTCAAGTTCAGTAACGAATGCTTCCCAGGCAGGGACATATGCTCCCTGAAGCATCATGTCCTGAAGCAAAGAGTGTCTGCTTGCCGTGGGTATTTCTAAGCCGCAGTAACCCTCTGCAAATAGATCTGTGTTTAGGGAAAGCCTGCTCATTCCCCGAACGCTTGCAAGGCTGATTCTTTTCTAGGTAACGAGATGAATGGGAAGTGACTGGTATTGTCCATTTCTAAATCTATATTAAAAGCCTTTAAAATTAACTTGGCAGCTTCGCTGCTGATAATTTGTCTTTGAAGAAGCGGAGTGTAGGTAAACATTCTTCAGTGCGGGCGTTCATCACGTTACTAACTACAATAGCAGATGAAAAGGAGGTCTGTCCCACATCGGCAGTCAGTGAAGTGACAGGACTGTGACAGAACACCCTGCGTCTGGTTTCGGTTTAATATATGGTATGGAGATATCACATGAAAAAGAGTATATGGTACTTTGCTAAGAGAAGACAGTTTTAAAAACAGGATGTATAGAAATATGGGCGAATGGATGGACAGATTAACTTATGGGTAGGTAGATTCTTAGATAGGTAAGTGAACGGATGGTGGGTAGATAGAAAGATGGATGGGGGTGGATGGATGGATGAATGGATGGATGGATAGAAGATGGAAGGATGGACGGATGGATGGATGGATGGATGGATTGGATGAATGGACAGATAGACTGATGGATAAATGGATGGATGGATGGATGGATGGATGGATGGATGGATGGAAGGATGGATGGATGGATGATGGAAGGATGGACAGATGGATGGATGGATGGATGGATGGATGGATGTGGATGAATGGACAGATAGACTGATGGATAAATGGATGGATGGATGGATGGATGGATGGATGGATGGATGGATGGAAGATGGAAGGATGGACAGATGGACAGATGGATGGATGGATGGATGGATATGAATGGACAGATAGACTGATGGATAAATGGATGGATGGATGGATGGATGGATGGATGGACAGATAGATGAATAGATAGATATGGATGGAAGGATGGGTATGGATAGATAGAAAGCTGAGTGGATGGATGGATGGACGGATGGATGGATGGACAGATAGATGAATAGACAGATATGGATGGAAGGATGGGAATGGATAGGTGGAAAGCTGGATGGATGGATGGACGGATGGACGGATGGATGGATGGACAGATTGATCACTACAAATCATTGATATAAATATTCTTCAGTAAAAACATCAATGGCTTACTCGTACTGGCCGCTTACCATATCTGACACTCCCCTAAGCACTTTATACTGGCTTGACATACAGCCTTACGAAATAAACAGGTTCCACATGTTACAAATGGCAAACAGGGTCAACGAGGCTTAAACAAACCTACCCGAGATCACATCAGAAGCTGCTGGTATCGGGGACAGCCTTTGGCCTAAGCTTCCAACCGCGGGACACAGTATCGTAGCAATCCTCCAGCAGGGAACCAGGGAAGGATCTAAAAGGAGGGACTGATGTTCCTGTGTAATCACAGTCTCTCCCAGGATTGAAAACGATTTTCCTTCCCATTGTCCTTCTTTCCGTTTTCCCCATTGTTTATCTTGCAATGGTTTATATGCTTCTGTTGATTTTTTTTCTATTCAAACTGGGGGTTAAAATATCCCAGACGTACTCTTCATGGCAATCTTCCATTCTCTAACTCCAGGTAACTTGGGGACCCTGAGGTTGACCCACTACTGTCCCCAGGTGGCATCTTGTCCATCTTCCCCAGAGGGCACTGTGCACCTCCCCTCCGTGGAGGCAGCCCTTGGAATATGCCTGTGACAATAATAATGGCTGTGTTGTCTCGATAACAACTCCAGAGGAGGTAGTTCGTACTGTCATGCGCCAGCGTGTGTGTCATTTCTCACGACTCCCTTCGTTCCGACTGGCCGAAGCTAAAGTGATATTTTTTTGGACACTAAAGTCAATTTGTCACCGTGATGCATTGATCTACCGGTTCCCCTCATAGACCTAATTCCAAAATGTAGTCCGCTCAGAAAGTTTGATTCCTTCGCCAGCTGTAATCTTTTAACATCTTCGGAGGAATTCCTTCAGCTGGCTCTTTCCCAGTGGCTGTTTTGCAATGGCTTCTGGCCAAAAGTAACAACATTTTGACCCAGATCTGAACCCAAAGTGTAAATGATCAGTAATGGCCTGCTGCTTGAACGCTCCTAGACCCAGCTCCTGCCACCCGACTGATTGACCTCCAGGCTCTCCCCAGGGAGCATCTTTCTCCCATGCCCTGCTCCCAGCCCACAAGCCCAGTCCCAGAGGCAACACATGTAACAGCCTCCCACCTGCCTTGAGAACATACTCCCCACATGGAGGCTTGGGTGTGGCCCACTCTGGAAACTTTCTGACCTCCTCCCCTTCCATAGGTACGTGTGGGAGAAGGATGGGGCCACCCTGGCCGTGGAGACTAATCCTCGGATCCGCCTGGACAGAAACGGCTCCCTACATATCTCGCAGACGTGGTCAGGGGACATTGGCACATATACCTGCCGGGTACTCTCAGCTGGTGGCAATGACTCGCGAAATGCCCACCTGCGAGTCAGGTAAGGGCAAAGGAGGCATGGGCAAAGGGTAACGGCAGCGGTGGGGTGTTCAGATCCAATTAGCTTCTTTTGGTCATGTGAGAAAGCCATGTATGACTAGGACCATCCAAATACCCTAAAACACCTCCTCAACATCCTTCTCGGCCTGTCCCACAGCTCAGGGACACTTCTGTCAGGAGCAGAAGTCTTCATAGGCCTTAGATGGGGCTCTAGTTCCAGAGAGAAGAATTGTCAGGCATAAACAACTACTCACTCCAGACAGGGCACTAAGATGCCAAAGTCCAGCTTGGTGGACCGATGAGTTTATCTGACTTACTTACAGGGGTATGGTTAACCCCCCACGGCAACCGCATCACCAAAGTATCCCACTCCAACATGGATGGTAACTTCCTTTTAGTTGCAAAAATGAGTTCCATCTTGGAACAAGATTACTCGCCTCCCCGGGGAAGGAAGGGCAGGAGGGATTAGTGGGGATCTCAGGTGTGGGTCTAACCACCACCCTCTCCTATGAGAGAACATCAACAGGCAATCTTCATTTTATTCTTTTTATTGTTTGAGAATTTCATACATGCATATAATGCACCTTGATCAAATCTACCCCATCTCTCCCTTCCTACTCCTCCCTGTACCCCACAACCTTTTCCTCTCCACCTCAGGGTCTTTGTTCTTAAACCTCTGGAGTCCGTTTAGTGGTGGCTGTATAGGTATGGAACCATCTACTAGTGGGGCATGGAAGCTAGGATCAGATCTCTAAAAGAAATCGTTATCTTTCCAGCTCTAGGTGGGACTTAAGCCTTTCCCCTTCTGGACTGAGATTTAGGCTGATTTGATCTTCTATAGGCCCTGATCACATTTCCAAGATGATCTGATGGCGATGTGCCATTTATAGCTGAGCGTGTCACAGTCTCTTCCTCTCTGCACATTGGCCATCCATGGGTCTCTGTAATTGTCACCATTTACTGCAAGGGACAGCTTCTCTAGTGAGGACTGGACGATGCCCTGATCCAGAAGTGTAAGGATCAAGACTAAGGAGGCGGTTAGTTTCTATGTCTACTTAGGACAATAATAGTGTTAGATTCAACCCCCATTACCATGGTTTTAGGCCTATTTAATGGCATCAGCCCGAGTTCCATCTTGCGGTACAGACCTTGAGTGGCTGGTCACTCCCATAACAGCTGTGCCACTACTACACCAGTGAGCGGGTGTATCTTGCCAGGCTAGGTAAGATCATTGATTCCTTTTCTTCCCCGGTAGCATATACTGAACCTTCCAGGGATGTAAAAGCAAGCTAGTAGGGATGAAGCTTCAGGTTGGTACCAGCTTGATGACTCCATGTAATCCGTACGGTCTCTTCAGCAGTAAGGTCTTACCATCAAGTTCTGGAATGTTAAGCGAGAGAAACGGCAACAGCTTATAATGTAAGCTATGGGATCCCACTGCCCAACAACTTGGAAAGGGATCCCCCACACATGCCACTGGGCTTTTTTATTGGCTAGCCTATAAAATTGTAGGCTGGTATCTAGGAGAGGCATTGTGCTCTTATTAGAGATTAACTCCATTTAAACTCCTTTTATATATGTGTATGTGTATATTTTTAGGAAGCTTCTGCAGTAGAAGGTTTCCGTATGGTAATCCTGTCGGAGGTCCTCTGTGGGTCGTCACAGTCACTTAGATGAAGGGAGTAGCGGCTGCTAGGCATCAAGTGCCTGTAATCTAAGGATAGGATTTGGAAGGTGGAGGAAAACAGATCAGAGGTTCAAGGTCATTCTCTACCACATAGCAAACTGAAGACCAGTTTAGCATGAAGGACCGCATTCCATACAACACACACCTAGTACACAGCATCATGGAAACATAAGACTCTCTGAGTGTGCAGCTTGCCTGTCACCTGATGGCAGAGCATGGTACTCAGAGCGGCCCCTTCACACACATCTCTCCTCCAGGCAGCTTCCCCATGCTCCTGAGCACCCCGTGGCAACGCTTAGCACTGTGGAGAGACGCGCCATCAACCTGACCTGGGCCAAACCCTTCGACGGCAACAGCCCTCTGCTGCGCTACATCTTGGAGATGTCAGAAAACAGTAAGGTCCCCACTGTCACCTTCCCATGTCCGCACAAAGAATGGGCAAAGTGGGGTGTGCTGTAAGGTCACCTTGTGCGTCAGCTAGCCCTACCACACTCTTCCTGGGCCTCTGGGCACAGCAGATCTTCCCCCGGGGCAGCCATAGTTTCCTTGTGTGTAAAGGGGGGTAATGAGCTTACTTTTAGGCTTATGAGTGACCCCCAAACAGATGGTAGACTATTAGGACTTTGCAACAAGATTGGTGTGTCAGTGTAGCCTGTAGTCCCAGCATTTGAAAGGCAGAGGCGGGACAATCAGAGTTCAAAGGTTGACTTTGAGCTATGTAGGGGAGGGGCTTGTGTAAGACCTGGGACAGCAGTGGCCTCAAAGATAGCAGCTGTTGTTCTTACAAATGCCCCACTGCGATACCCTCAGTGATACCCTCCACGTGGCTTTTCTAGAGCTCACTCATTCAAGGGAGAATTGAAGTAGCTCACTTCCCATGAACCTCTGCTTCCACTCCACTTCCTCCCACCTCCCTGCAACCCCTGGTTCACATGGGCTAGCGGGACCCAGAGAAGCTGACATGGTGACCTATACTGGCCCAAGTTATGGAGATATTCACTCTCCTTCCCACCCAAAGGAGAGGGATGAGGATGAAGGGTAGACTCCATCACATCGCTGGCCAGCAAGATGGCTCAGCCAATCCTGATGACCCGAGTTCAGTCATTGGGAACCACATGGTAGACAGAGAAAACCAATTCCCTCAAGTTGTCCTCTGACCTCCATATGACACATGGCACATAAACACCCATAGACGTACACATATATACACAGAAGGAAATAAAGATTGAAAGTTTTTTTTTTTTTAAAAAAAAAAAAAGGAACATGTCCTCCTCGCACACAATGTCCTCCTCTACTCTAATCCTGTGTTTCTGCAGATGCTCCCTGGACCATACTCCTGGCCAGCGTGGACCCAGAAGCCACCTCAGTGATGGTCAAGGGACTGGTTCCCGCTCGTTCCTACCAGTTCCGCCTCTGCGCTGTCAACGATGTGGGCAAAGGACAGTTTAGCAAGGACACAGAAAGGTAAGAGAGCAGGTGTCCCCCCAGGAGGGACTCCACCTGCCAGCCTCCAAACTACAGTGACACATGGGGCAAGCCACAGAACAGGTCTGGCTAGGTATCTCTCAGTCTTCCACTCTGTAGAATGGGGGAATGATGTGCTTAAAGGAAATGGCAGAGTTCTGTGTGTACAGTGTGGTCCACGATAAGCATAAACAAGCTTGGGTCATTCCTATGCTCATGAGCTGGGCAAGTTCAAAGATTCCCTGGATATTCTGCTCAGTCCTGTGAGCTTCCATCATGGTTCAAGGGGACAGGAAGTTCCAGAGGGAAAGGGGGCTCCTTAGTGTCCATGTCTGATTCCAAATGAATGCCAGAGCCTGTGGGTAGCCTCACAAAGCTCTCACAAGATGACGGACACCAAGGACAACTAGGCAATCTACACAAAAGCTCCTCACGGTGAACACATTTCTACGGAAGCTGGACTCTGCTCAGCTTACCCTGGGTGAGAAGCAAGCCACCTCTACTGGGAAAGCAGTCGTCCTTTAGGACATCGGAATGGCTGTGACACAGTATAAGCACCAAGCTGTGCAGTTGGCTCTGCAAAAGATGCCTTCCAAGCTGGATGAATTGGCATGGGCCTGTAGTCTTAGTGTCTGGGAGGCTGAAGAAGAACCATGAATTCAAGCGAAGCCTGGGCCAAGCCATCTAGGGTATAGAGGAAGACCCTGTCTCAAAAAGACAGCAACAATGTGGCTTGAGGGGTGGCTCAAGTGTTCAGGTGGGAGGATCTAAGCTCTGGTTCTCAGCAACTTCGGGTAAGCGGACCATGGTGGCCCCGCCCATGACCCTGATGCTGAGGAGACAAAGATGGGCAGATGTCTGGTCTAGCTAAAGCAGCAAACTACCAGATGTGGTGGCACACATCTTTAATCCTGGCACTTGACAGGCAGGGGCAGGCAGATCTCTGAATTCAAAGCCAGCCTGATCTACAGAGTGAGTTCCAAGACAGCCAGACCTACACAGAGAAGCCGTGTCTCAAGCAAGCAAGCTTGACCTGTTGAGATGGCTTAGCAAGTAAAGTTGTCCCTAAGCCTGATGGCCTGAGAGTTTAATCCCGAGGGCCCACATGGTGGAAGGAGAGAGAACTATTTCCTATATGTTGTCCTCTGACCTCCACATGTGCACTGTGGCATGTGTACACACACACACACACACACACACACACACACACACGCACGAACATACACGGTAATAAGCACTATTTATTTACTGAGCACTTACAATATTCCAGGCTGGGTTTGGCACCCAGGAGGTGCATTGAACAAGCAGGAGCTCAGCCCCTTGGGAAATGTCAGAATCACAACAGGGACCCTCAAAGTCCCAAGAGACCCTGCCCGTTTCTGCTGTGCCTGCGGCTGCTCTGTACACCAATTTGTCCTCGTCCAGAATCTCTGTACACATAGTCTTGAGTCACCACAGGAAAGGTTAAACCACCCGCACTTTAAAAGCTGAGAGCAGACAGGACTGTTTGGGAAGCTATTCATCAGAGAGAAAAAACCTAAAAAAATAAATAAATAAATAAACAAAAAGGGAAAGGCATCCATCAAAAATAATTAACTTTTGTTTTTTAATGGATAAGTGTCAGCGGTGTGAAAAATACACTTGGGCGGAACACAGCGTTCCCCAGCCATGCCAGGGAAAGAAATGTGGTACTTGGCTTCAGCAGAAAGGCTGGGGCTGGGGCTCCTTCCCCCGAACCACGGCCACCCATCTATCCTGGGGCTCTGCTCATCCAGCAAGGGGGTCTAGATAAAATCCACCACCAAAGCCTGTGGGAAATGACTGATACTCCTATTCCTCAAACAATTAAGACAGGCACAGCAGTAGCATGTGCCTGCAATCCTATACTCAGGAAGCTGAAGGAAGAGGGTTACAAGTTCAAGGCCACCTTGGGATGAAATGCAAGACCTTGGCTCAAAATTGTTTTATTATTATTATTATTACTACTACTACTACTCACAAAAGGAAAGACGCTCAGAGACATTAACTGAGCTGCCCCAAAGCACACTGCAAGGGTGCAGAATTACCAGGGACGCTATGTAGTGTGGCTAGCCTTTTGTCATTTATTATACGCCTATGTAGATGGGGTAGAGAAAGATCCAATCACACTTGCTGCTTTTTGCTCTAGGGTCTCCCTTCCCGAGGAACCTCCCACGGCCCCTCCACAGAACGTCATCGCCAGCGGTCGGACCAACCAATCCATCATGATCCAATGGCAACCACCTCCCGAGAGCCACCAGAACGGGATCCTCAAGGGCTACATCATCAGGTACATGGCCATTCGAGGGCCAGTAGGGCTCCCGACCCTGAGGGGTATGGGGAAGGAGAGTGGATTAGAAAACATTCCAGATTCATGGTCCATCCTTGCCGACATAAAGACCAGGGGATAAGAAATGCCCACTCTTGTGACAAGAAGGGCTTACGGTTAAATTGCCAAAGACCAGACTAAGTTGATAGCCTTGAAAACTAGTAGGACCGGCTGAGCAAGGACAAGGTTTCATCCCTGCAGGCTGCATGGAAACCAAGGCTGCTGCAGGGCAGGGCTAATGTAGGAACAGACAGGAAGCGGAGAGGTGACTATACCAACAGCCCACCCCCTACGCAACTCCAAATGTCCTGCTGCAGGCCTGACCTCTGTCTAAATGAAGGTGTGTTCAGCCCTCAGACTGCACGCAGCAACACTAGCGATGAACGGGTCCCAACAGGAGGAACGCAAACTTATTTAGAACATTCAAAGGATTTGTTTGGGTTTTTCATGTTTTGTTTTGTTTTGTGATTTCTTTTTGCAATCCAACTGTGCAATTCTCGACGTGAACTTTGCATTTGACAGTGTCATTTCACAATAAATATCTGAAGGTCGGACAGACACCCCGGCTCGATGGAGCACAAGTGAAGAGACCAAGGGGCAAGAATTGGCTGAAAGGAAAAAGTTATTTTTCTGGTTCTTGCTGAAAACAAAGTTCTGTGGACTTTTAAGCTTTGCATTTGACTGAGGACTGTTTCACTAGTAACCCCAAAGAAAGCGTGGGAGCTGACCAAACTAAAATACCCCTAAGTATGAACAGCTCAGTGTGAGGTGGTGAGTTCAATTCCCAGGACCCACATGGTAGAGGGAAAAAACAGTTCCTACAGATTTTCCTCTGATCTGTACAAGTGTGCCATGGAATGGGCACATCCGCCACACAGATAAAAATAAAAGTTTTTAAAATAATTTTCGGAGGTTGAAGAGATATCTAAATGGTTAAGTGAGCTTGTGCTTGCTGGTTGTTCATCCAAAGGACCTGGGTTCAGTTCCCAGCACCCTCAGTGGCAGCTCATACCATCTGTAGTTCCAGTTCCAGGGGATCTAATATCCATTCTTGGCCTTCCTAGGCCCCAAGCACACATGTGGTACACAGACATATATGCAGGCAAAACACTCATGCACATAATTTTTTAATAATGTTTTAATTATCTTGGGATTGATAGTTAGTGGAAACGCCCATCTGTATTCTGAATTTGGCTGGCTGCAAAATCCTTCCTCAAGCCTGTGTCTCTTCCTTACACAGCAAGACCCCCGAGTGCTGCCATAACCCACAGTTGGAAGAGCCCATGGTCCCAGCTACCCTATGATCACTTGATTTTGCTATGGTTTTGGGACTTATCCTAAAAGTTCTCAGAATGTGGTCCCCAACCCAACAGGCTCAGTGCTACCTGAACACTGGTGAACCTGACTGTCAAATCTGTTCCCGAGACCTCCTCCTAATTGGATAGTCTAGCAGTCTGTGTTTTAACTAGCCTCTGGGTCATACTGATTCATGCTAAGGTCTAGCACATACCAGCTCTGGGGCTTTGGGAATGTGTAGAAACACTTTGGGGGCTCTGATTCTGTAACTGTTAGACCCCAAAATAGGTAAACATTATGCTTCTTCCTAGGCCTAGTACACCATCCACGCAAAGCACCCCACATTTGCTCGCTCCTATCCCTTCTTTTGTCGTGGTTGGTATGCAGTGGGAGGTACATACGGGGAGATCCGTAGCCTCCAGGGTTCTCAGTCCCCATCAGCCAAGGAGCCACTGTACCAAGGAAAGAAAGAAAATCAGCTAAACTTAGGGAGTACTTTCCTGGTTCATGATCTCCAAAAGCTGACACCTATGACACCTTCCCTAGGGACTCTCAGCCTCTGTGGTTGGCAATCTTGTCTGTGTCTTCCAAACCCATCAAAAAGATGGGATAAGCCGGGCAGTGGTGGCACACCCCTTTAATCCCAGCACTTGGGAGGCAGAGACAGGAGGATTTCTGAGTTCGAGGCCAGCCTGGTCTATAGAGTGAGTTCTAGGACAGCCCAGGCTATACGGAGAAACCATGTCTCCAAAAAATTAAAATAAAATAAAAAATAATTAAAAAAAAAAAAGATGGGATATCTGTGGCTCCGTTGATTAGGATGTTTGGCTAGCATGCATGACATCCTAAGGTTGATCCCTAGCCTCATATAGACTGGGCATGGTGTGCAGCTCTATAGTCTCAGTACTTAGGAAGTGGAGAAAGGGGGATTAGAAGTTCAAGGTTATCCTCAGCTATATAGTTTGAGGCCAGGCATCCTGGGCTATACTCCCTAGACCTGTACTATCCTGCAAAGTAGCCAGGAGTCAACTGTCATGACTCAAAACAATTAAAACTACAACAAAGTCAAATTCATCCCTCATTTGCACAAAACCCATTGTCACATGGCCAACAGCATGAACTCTAGTGGTTACCCTATTAGGCAGCCCAGATGGCATATCAATGGTGCAATGGAGCGCTCCCAGAAGCATACAAAATTTTAACAGACAGTGCTGCTCTGGGCAGTTTGCCAAGCACAAGCCTGTTGGCTGATTCAACCCGCTTTCACCTCTTCCTTCAGATACTGCCTGGCGGGGCTACCTGTTGGGTACCAGTTTAAGAACATCACAGATGCTGACGTCAACAACCTGTTGCTGGAGGACCTCATCATTTGGACCAATTATGAGATCGAGGTGGCTGCCTACAACAGCGCCGGGCTGGGTGTCTACAGCAGCAAAGTCACCGAGTGGACGCTGCAGGGAGGTGGGTGGAGACAGGGGCCATGGAAGACCAGGTGCGTCCCTTTCTCCAGGTTCCTGGGTCTGTTGGGCCACATGATTGCTGGATAATCCACATGTCCAGTTATGAGCACCCCAACTCATGTGGCTGACTTCACCTAGGCCTTAGGGTGCTTAGATGACATCTCCACCTTACACCTGACTCTCATGAGGCAGATGGCTGAGGGGAAGAGAAGAGAGTGGTTAGAAGTCATGTGGGAAGAGGCATAGGGACCTTCTGTGGTATTTCAACATGAACTGGGTAACAAGACAGCTTGGGAGGTGGGTCAGACAAATTTAATGAACTTGAATTAATCCAGAGAGCAGGAGAGGAAGAGAGCCCTTGGGTTTGCCAAGCGTTGTCTATTGAGTCTGCCTGTGTCCTCTACCACACTGGACAAGATGAACCGGTACAGAGGTGGGGGAACTCCTCAGCTACAACCAATCTCTTGATCTCCTTTAGTTCCCACGGTGCCCCCGGGCAATGTACACGCAGAAGCCACGAATTCTACAACCATCCGCTTCACCTGGAATGCCCCCAGCCCCCAGTTCATCAACGGCATCAACCAGGGCTACAAGGTAGGTGAGGGTCTCTTCTCTCCTTGGAAGGGAGCTAGGAGGGACTCGAGGTGTTAGGGACAGGGGTGGAGGGCCCCAGGAAGGAGCAGTAAAGTCACTGTGGGCTTCTGAAACCCCTTGACACATGCCTCTCCAGCAGGCAGAGATCACAAATAAAAGCAGGATATGCCCCCCCAACCCCATGACTTTCAAGGCTACATAGAGGATCCTAGGAGAGTACACTGTGACCCAGGTGTCACCAGAAAGAGGCTGTCCTCAGTAACTCCAGCCACAAACAAGGCCTGGACCCCTGGACATTGTGGTATTCCATCAGAACGGTGCCCCAGTCACTCACCCCTTACCACCAACATACAACCTGCCAGACAGGTCTCCATGAGCTGCACTTGACCCAAACACAGTAAAGAGAAAGCCTCAGGATTAGGGCAGAGTTGAACTAAAAACCCCAGCTTGCCTCTTGCGGACTGATGTCTTGGATTAGAGTGTGGATGTCACTCCCTCACCTTATACGTTCTTGAGTACCGGAGGTCTCATCCGCTCTTCTTGCAACAGTGCCAGTCACACTGGGTTAGGATATGTTCCTGATGACATCACTTAACTTCAAGCAGCACTTTAAGGACCCAGGTTCCAAACACAGCCACACTCTGGGAGTCCAGCTTAAAACTTCAACAAATGAATTCAGTACAGGCACAGTCTAGTCAATGACCAATAGCCAACGATCTGAGTTATCGCCATACCAATGTTAGCTGGTTTTCTGGCCAGTTTAACTGCTGGGCATCAGGACTTCTCTGTCTTCCTGTCCTGTATCCCAGGCCTGGGGTCCCCTTATCCTCATATAAGGAAGCCTGTTGTCCTCTGAGTGAGCCCACCCCACGTAGCATAGGCAGACGCCACGTTTGGAAGCTTCTTGCTCTCAGCAGGGGGAGGCAGGTAGACAGATGTCACGGGATCATTTCCAGGTATGAAAAAAAAAATAGGGAATTTAAGAGTCTGGGGAGCCAGGAGGAAGGAGAGAAAACTACAGACTCTGGGTTTTAGATAAGGGTCCCAGTGATTTCAAGGTGACAGCTACCATATCCATAAGTCCACTGCACTGAGGCTGTGCGTGTACTGCAAGGACAAGTGTCTGCACCGTTAAGACCGTAAGCTTGGGAGGCTGGAGAGGAAAGGAGTGAGATTATTTGGTAAAAAGAATCTTCTAGTTGTGTTAGAAGCAACCTAGGGACCAGAGTTGGAGCCACCGGGTCACAAGGTGGTCAATCCCACGAAGGCAGAGAGTGCTGTCCAAAAAGAGTCTTCCCGGGATGGGGGCTGCAGCCCAAGCTTACAGTTGCTGACTGGCCAGAAAAGGCTGCTAATTGGGACTCGGGGGAGGGAAAGAGGTCTGCATGGCTGTGGAACACAGAGGCTGAGCTGGGAACAATTAGCTTCTGGCTGCCAAGTCTAAGCACAAGTTTTATTCTACATGTGGGAGGGATGAGCTACAAGCTTGTAAGACGAAAAGCTCCCCAAGGGCTCAAAGGCCACCAAGTGGCCGGGACAACTAGGGCAATAGCCTGTGATGACCCAGAACAAGAAGATACTGCAGAAGCCCCCAACCCTGCTTAGTCCCAAGCTCTTCCTTTTGCCTATACTCAGGAACTGTGCAAATGGGCTTGTGACCATGAGCTGCCCAATAGTTTGGGCTCACGGGGCCGTAATAGCATATCATACTTAGGGGGACTTAGCCAATACCAGCAACCAGCTGCATGCTCTGCTCCTTCTCTCATGCAAGTGACTTTGAACTTAGGATCCTCCTGCCTCCACTTTCCAAGTCTTAGGTTTATAACATGTACTACCACATCCAGTCTACGCAATTCTGGGCATCGAACCCAGGGCTTCAGACATGCTCGGAGAGCTTTCTACCAACTGAGCTATATTCTCATCCCTGTGTTTTATTGTAAAATGACAACTACAGCTTGTTTTCGGTTTTGTTTTGAAGTACGAATGAAAAAAAGTTGAGGTCTTTTTTGCTTCCTCGGCCTTCAGAAAGGGGGATGCGATGGTTGTCCCATCTGTACGTGTAATCAGATAAGAGTATCCTTTAAATGATTAGAATGTTCAGACATCACAAGAGTCGGGGGAGGACTCAAATGTCCACCTAACACCTGTCTCCAGCTTCACCGTGACCAAGTGGCAGCCTGGTTTGTCCCTGCACCTCTGAGTTTCCCCAGCCGTTAGCCCATCCTGGGGAACTTGCTGAAGTGAATCCAGGCAGTTCATCACACCATCTATAAATGTTCTTGTAGAGAAAGATTCTCTACAAGCTCTCTCTATTAAAAAAAACAACCATACCTAAAATTGTCAGCCATTCCATCATTATACATCCTGCCAGCCTCTGGGTTTCTTTGATTGTCTCCCAACCAGTTCCTGCTTCTCTCTCTCTCTCTCTCTCTCTCTCTCTCTCTCTCTCTCTCTCTCTCTCTCTCTCTCTCTCACTCTCCCTCCCACACTCCCTCCCTCCCTCCCTCCCTCCCTCCCTCCCTCATGATTTATTTGGTGAAGAAACTTAGTCATTCATCCCATGCATTTTCCACAGGCCTGAATTTTGCTGATTGCCTCCCTGTGGGGTCATTTAACTCGTTCCTCTGAGTACTATATCTGTAGTCAATTGGAATGTAGAGCCAGTGGCCGACCAGATTCAAGTTTGTTTGATTACCTTTTCTGCAGGGAGGTGGGGGGTCCCTCGGTGGTGCTGTGTGTTGACATCAGAAGGTGCAAAGTTTGATTGTCTCTTTAATTATGAACCTGGTGGCTGTGAACAGCCCTTTGTAGGGGTTGTGATTTTTAATAGGAGTTACAAAATGAGGGTGGAAATTTTATTCTTGATTAGCTAAAATGCCTTCAGGAAGGAAGAAATGAGGTGGAGAAAGAGGGAGGAAGGGAGGGAGAGAGGGAGAGAGGGAAGGAGAGAGGAAGGGAGGGAGGGAGGGAGGGAGGGAGGAGGAGGAAGGGAATAAGAGAGCAGGGAGAGAGGGAGGGAAGTCAAGAGACTTGAAAGGAAGATGATATTTCCCTTTGTCAGTTTTCTACCGTCTGAACTCTGGGTTCATTAGGAAAAATTTAAAACTCCATTCTTTTCCACAGCTTCTCAATTCTGAGCAGTTTAAGCGGCTCCCTCGAATTTTCTAAGGTGACAGTTAAGTTTGGGTTGGAGAAGGTGTCTTTGGTTTCATTTCACTGTTAGCATTGTCATTATGTACTTAAGGATTTCTAAATACATCTGCTGTGCTCCGTTCCGCTGTGGTTATTATCCTTATTGTTGCCAAATGATCACTGGTCCCTTCAAGTTGGCTCCTGAGTCTTTTTCAGCATGGTCCCAGGCGCCTCTGACTGCTGCCTGGGTGTCTGGGACGATCAGACACTTCAAGCTATATGAATGTATATAACATTTGCCTACAAAGTCTGCCAGGATTAGCGGGGCAGGCCTGTGAGGAAAGGCTTTCTTCAGCTTACAAATTCTGATTATAGCCCATCATTGAGGAAAGCAAGGGCCGAAACTTAGAAGCAGAGACCCGGATAGGTGCTGCTTGCTCCCTGTGGCTTTCTCAGCCTGCTTTCTTATACCACTAGGAATAGCTGCCCAGAAAAACCAGCCACAGTGAGCTGGAGTTAGCACACTCACACACATACACACACACACACACAAACAAACACACACACACACACACTTCAATCATTAATCAAGAAAATGTCCCCACTGATTGGCCTACAGGCCAATCTGATGGAGGCATTGTGTCAACTGAGGTTTCTTCTTCCTGGATGACCCAGCTTGTGTCAAGTGACCAAAAAAGCCAAAACAAAACAAACAAAAAACAAAACAAAAACCTAGGACAAGACCAAACCGAGAGACTCAGTGAGACCCTGTCACAAAATAAAAAGTAAAGAGAGAGCTGGGGTATAGTCTAGTGTTGAGATGACTGCCTGACATATGTGAGTCCCTGGGTTCAAATCCCAGCCCAGGGTGGGGAAAAAGAATCTCTTCATTGTACCTGACATGGGTCAGACATTTTCCCAGAGAACTCCAGATCTCTTGAGATAGAAACAGTAGACACCATGATACGAGGCTACTCGGAATGTTTCTTGATCCAAAGATAGCATTGTGTCTAGACTCTTGATTGACAGGAAGAAGGACCGTCTCTTAAATAAAATGCATATAGACAGACCTGTCTTCCATCTCGAAAGGGCACACGAGTCAGGCACAGTAACACCTGAAATCCTGGCACTCAGGCAGTGGAGGTAGTAGGGAATGCCAGAAGCTCAAGGTCCTCTTTGGCCACGCAGCAAGTTCAAGGACAACCTAGGCTGCATAAAACTCTGTCTTTCAAAGGTTTTTTTTAAAATGTGTACTGATGGTTCCCATTCAACATCAAGATTGCAAGTTTTCTCATAAGCCCATTGGCCTTTTGTTTGAATCTTTTTTTTTCCACAGTAAAACTCTAGTTCTTGCACAGCTTCCTTGGTACCAACAATCTCATCCCACAGACACCAACAGTTTCAGGACCATAGCAGGAGTGTGATGCTACTGACCAACAACCCCAAATTATCAGCATCTTCTGTGGTGTTGGAATGTAACCCAGAAGAGTCACACTTCACACCGCTCTGCTATGATGTCTTTTGAATAGTTTCCCTTGCTGTAATTTCTCTACAGCTCGATACCCTATTAGGTTCATGGGCTTCACGTTGTTTTTTGATTTTTAGGGATTGATTTTTTTTCTTAATTTAATTTTATCCTATAATTATGTACAATATTTACTTGGTTTCAAAGTCAAATCAACAAAACAAATTTTTAAGAAAATCAGTCTTGATCTGGGGAGATGGTTTACTTGCCATGCAAGGCCAACCCATGTGACAAGCTGGGCACAGTCACCACTCACATTCCTAGCCTCAGCAGAGCCCTACAAGGACAAGGGAGGCTGAGCAGAGGGAGCCACCAGGAGCTGGCAAGCCAGCCAGCCTGGCGTATGCAACAGTGAACAACAGGAGACACTGTCACAAGCAGAGAAGGCAAGAGGAGATACCCAAGGTTGTCCCCTGAACTCCACGTGTGCACAGTAGCACACCCAAGCCTATACTCACATATACACACATATGCATTGTATACACAGCAAAGAAGGAAGGAAGGAGGAAGGGAGGGAGGGAGGAAGGGAAGGAAGGAGGGAGGGAGAGAGGGGAAAGAAGGCAGGAAGGAAGGAAGGAAGGAAGGAAGGAAGGAAGGAAGGAAGGAAGGAAGGAAGGAGTGGGATCTCTTGCCATCTCCCACCTCTTGGTGAGATATAAATTCATCAATGGATTTAATTGATGATATGAGAGCATTTATTAATAAATCACCTGTCAATAATTGGACCCACCAGCCAGAAACAGAACCTTCAACAACATGTGAGCCTTTGGGCAGGAGGGTGGATACTTTATACCCAAACCATAACACTGAGAAATTTGGGGAACTTTGTGACCCTTCAGTTTCATACCCTGGAGGATGTGTGTTGTTCATAGCAGTCCTGGGCTGTTGTGACCCTGTGGCCATTTTTGGTCTCAGGTGTGAAGCTGGAGAGAGAAGCCAATATGGCGGGTCCTCAGATTCACACTTTCCTTGCCTTGTGCATCCTCACAGGTCATTGTTTTGTGGGTAAGACCCAGTGATACTATTTTTAGACATCTGTAAAGGAACTCTTTTTTTCCTTTATTTGGTTTAAAATGGTAGTGATTGTAATTAGCTTAAGACCAATAAAATAATATTTACCCAAATTTTACACTTGCTGGGGAACACACCACACAATTAATTCCAACAGCATAATTAATTCAAATTTACATTAATTAAATTAAATTAAAACATTAAACTCATTTCTTCATCTACTCCAAGGAAGTTGGGCAATTTAATTGCTATGAAACAAGATAACTAAAATAAAGAGGATATTTAACATACTTATTAAATGCCACTTAGTGTTTCTGATTAGTATTTTTAGGGTCTAATTAGTGTCTAATTAACTTGCTATAGGCTATCTTTTCACAATACCAATTAAATTTCAAAACATCCTTTATAAACATCCGGCCCTAAAAAGGAAAAGATTAAGCATTGTTACGGGCACGAGTTAATCAGGAGACATTGGCATGGTATTGTTTTATATCTATAAATACCCATGCTTATTAAAACCCTTCAAGTGTAGCTTTTCACCATTAATTGCTATTTAATCAACTTCAAATAAATGAGGAAATCTCTGGGACCAGCTGCCATTGTTGGAGACAGATGAAGGGACCAGAGAACAAGAGCAGAGGATAAGAGGCGAGGAGAGGAGGGGCCAGCGCAGGATGAGGAGGAAAAGCAGGCAGGTAAGCTATCAAAAGACGAAGAGAAAGTACAAAGGGAGATGGGAGAGAAAGCACAGGGTCCAGGTGGGGTCCCTTGCTGTCACCCACCTCTGGTACCCACCTGACCTGGTACAGATGTCAGACAATAGCCATTGAGACGGCTGTGGCATCTGACCTTGGAGAACCCATGGGGAAAAACGCCAGTAGGAAAACAGAGGTAGCAATTCCAAATCTCTGCTTCTCCAAGCTGTGTGATAAAGTGCAGGTGACTTGGCCTTTCTGAGCCTCCGATTTCTTGTCTATGCACTAAAGGGATGGCTTCATGGATGTGAGACCTGTGGAAACTCGGGGCCACAGACTTAGAAGAGCCCTGCTTTGGTACACTGCTCTGCTGTAGTCACTTGGAAGGAATTTTTGAACTAAAGGGCCTGTTTCAGGTTCTGTGCCCAGACCTCAGATTGTGATAATGGTTCTGGTAAAATGCCTCCCTTGTAAGGTAGCTGGGAGAATGGGGTGACAGGGCCCTGTGGGTAGTACCCTGTACTGTGTCTTACCTGTGTCAGAGGCTCAAGACACCCAGACCATCAGAATACACATGGGAGTGGCCTAGATCCAGCAGCCTCAGTGTTACCTGGCTTGTCTCTCTAGTCCCTGGGCTGAGGAACCACTTGACCAGTGTGTCCATTAACTTAACCTGTTGTAGGAAGCTTCATTTTTCCTAAAACATCCTTCTGGTTTCTCCTCAGCTGATTGCCTGGGAGCCAACCCAAGAAGAGGAGGTTACCATGGTGACTGCCAGGCCCAACTTTCAAGACAGCATCCATGTGGGCTTCGTGTCCGGTCTGAAAAAATTCACAGAGTACTTCACGTCGGTGCTCTGCTTCACCACACCGGGAGATGGGCCTCGAAGCAGCCCCCAGCTGGTGCGCACCCATGAGGACGGTAGGTGTCTTTACCCCCAGCTCCACTCCTACCCACCCCCAACCCAGACCCTTGGGAAGTCCCTGGGCATCCAGGAGCACAGGGGCCATCCTGCATAGAGTGACCATGCTCTGACTCTAATGGGCACTGGTGGGTGGGGGACCCTTTTGGGAACAGTGCCTGGACCCGTGGGACACCTGAGCTTCAATGACATCCTGGACACCTCTCTGAAGGTCAGCTGGCAGGAGCCTGGAGAGAAGAATGGCATCCTGACAGGTAGGCATGATCATGCTCCTGAGCCCAAGGGTAGGACAGTAGGACAGGTTTACCAGCTAGCCTATCCCCTGCCAACCCCCATCCAGGCCTCCCAAGTGAGCCACCCCCTCAACTCTTAGCTTTTCCTTGCAATCTACAGCACATCTCAGGGCTCCTGCTCCACCTCTGCAGGACCTCAGGCTCTTAAAGACCCCAAGGGTCTATCACAATGCATTACTCTGTCTACCTGACATCCCACTGACACGCTACCTGGGCCCTAGGCACGACACCAGCAGCTCCTAGCTTCTTTGTCCCCTCTGCTCCAAACCACCAAGCTAGGGAAGGAGTAAGAATTGGAATAAGAGTCAAGGTCCATGCACGATCTCAACCCAGCTCATGCTACCACTGTGGACCGTTGCCAGGGTACCGGATCTCCTGGGAAGAGTACAACAGAACCAATACCCGTGTGACCCACTACCTGCCCAACGTAACCCTGGAGTACCGAGTCACGGGCCTCACGGCGCTCACCACCTACACTATAGAGGTGGCTGCTATGACCTCCAAGGGCCAGGGCCAGGTGTCGGCCTCTACTATTTCATCTGGTGTGCCTCCAGGTGGGTGCCTCCCATTAGGACTTCTATCTCTGCTCTTCTAAACAGCACTCACTTTTGACAGGACTCTGGCTGCCTAGTTTGTTGATTAATTGGTTAGTTGGGTGGATGGGTGTTTAGTAGTCAATTGGTTGGTAGTTGGTTGCTTGGTTGGTTGATTGGTTTGTTGATGGTTTGTTTAAAGTTGGTTTGTTGATAGTTGGTTAGTAATTAATAGGTTGGTTAGTTGGTTGTGGTAATTGGTAGCTGGCTGTTTGGTGGTTTGGTAGCTAGTTGGTTGGTTAGTTAGTTTATTGGTGGTTGGTTGGTTAGTTTGTTGTTGGTTGGTTGATTGGTTTGTTGTTGGTTGGTTGGTTGTTTAGTTGGTTAATTGATGATTAGTGTTGGTTGGTTTGTTGGTGGTTAGTTGATTGGTTGGTTGGTTGGTTGGTTGGTGGTTGATTGGTTGGTGGGTTGTTGGTACCTATTTGGTTAGTTAGTGGGTTGGTGGTTGGTTGATTAGTTGGTTGATTTATTTGTGTTAGGTTGGTTGATTAGTTGCCTTATTAGTGTTTAGTTGGTTCGTTGGTTGGTTGGATAGTGGGTAGTTTCTGGCTATTTGGTTGGTTAGTGAGTTCGTGGTTAGTTGATTGGTTTGTTGGTGGGGGGTTGGATGATCCGTTGGTTGTCAGTTGGTTGTTTGGTTAGTAGATGGGTGGTTATTAGTGAGTGGTTAGTTGATTGGTTGACTGAATGGTTTTTTGGTTTGATTGGGTTTTTTTGTTTTGTTTTGTTTTGTTTTTTAAATTCAAAGTCTCATTCTAAGGCTCGAGCTGCCCTTGAACTCACAGTAGTCCCATTATATATATAGTAATATATATATAGTAATATATATATATAGTAATATATATAGTAATATATATACATATATATGTATATATACATATAATGCATATATATGCATATATATATGCATATATATGTGTGTGTGTGTGTGTATATATATATATATATATATATATATATATATTAGTCCCTCCTAAGTAACCAGAATTACAAGAATGAGACGCTGCACCAAGGTTCCAGTGTATTTTAGGGACAAGTCTCACCATTAAACCCATGCTGGCCTCAAACTTGGCAATACTCCTGCCTCTGATTTCCAAGTGCTGAGATTACTAGTGTGAGTCACCATACCTACCCTTGGAGGGGTTCTATCCTGGGGTAATGTTGATTTTCTTCCACTGGGTTCTCCCCTTTGCTTATCTCTTGGGTCCAAGGTCCTTCCCTAAGCAGACTTGGATCCCCTGACCTCAGGCCCTAGGTGAAGAACTATATGGCTTACCATCCCTCTCCCCACAGCCCTGAACACAGTAGAAACACCAGGACTCCACCCTCATCCCTGTTATCCACTCACCACACTCCTCATCCCACAGGAGACTCCCTGCCAGGAGAATTCAAAGAAAGAATTCTTACTGTTCACATTGGACAGCAGCCCATGGACAGACTTTTTGTGGGGCAGACAAATAAGATGGGAATAATCTCAGTCCCAAGCACAAACTCTAAGCAAGTCAGACATCATCTCTGTGCCTCAGTTTTCCTATCTGTACACGTACAGAACTGGACCAGATCACCATGTCGTCCTATCCAGATCAGAAAGGCTGTGCCAGCCAGATTGCCTGGACCAACCCCCTAAGGTGGCCAAGACACCTCAGGCTCCTTCAACCTCCACTCATAATAGGTATCGGTGATGCAGGTAGATGCCTGTCTGGGACTTCCCAGGCCTAAAGCTACAGTCTTTCTATACCTCCTCACTGCCGTTCCCTGCTACGTGTGGTCATTACCATCACCATTATACCAAGACATAAAAGAGGGAGGTAGATGCTGTATCAGTAGCTTCCCTTGATACTTTTATTTCCCTTGATATTTTTCAGGCAAAAATGCCTGAAAAAAAGCAAAGTAAAGAAGGAAGGGTTCATTCTGGCTCACAGTTCAAGGGTACAACCATCATGGTGTGAAAGTCACTTCAAAGGGAACTCATAGCTGGTCACATTGCATCTGGAAGCAGAGAGAGAGACTGACAGAGAGACAGAGAGATAGAGAGATGGAGAGAGAAACAGAGATGGAGAGATGGAGAGAGAGAGACAAAGACAGAGACAAAGACAGAGAGACAGAGAGAGAGAAACTAGTGGTCAGCTCCATCTTTCCTTTACATTCAGCCCAGCCTTCGGCCTGTAGAATAGCTCCACCTATAGTTAGGGTGGGTGTCCCCACCCCAGCCTAACCTAAAAACTCCCTCACATACGCCCAGAGGCTTCTCTCCTAGAGGACCCTAAACCCTGTCAATTTAACTACCTCAGTTGCTCAAAGACACAGTCTGTCATGGTAGAGTTAGATTCAAACTGAAGATGATTTATTTAACTGTTTGTTTGCTTTGTTGATTGGTTGGGTTTTGATATAGGATCTCACTATATACCCTTACAATGGCCTGGACTTCTGTAGCCAAGGCTAGCTCTAAACAGTACAGAATCTGCATTCTTTCAGTCCATCCTGAGCCCCAAGAACTCCTGACTCCCCGGTTGAGAAAGAGGAGCGGCCTCCTGTCTGCCCCCAATCCCAACTCTTCTAAACCTCTCCAGCAGGCTGGAGAGATGGCTCAGAGGTTAAGGGCACTGACTGCTCCTCCAGAGGTCCGGAGTTCAATTCCTAGCGACCACATGGTGGCTCACAACCATCTGTAATGGAATCCAATACCCTTCTTCTGGTGTGTCTGAAGACAGCAATGGTGTACTCATATAAATAAAATAAATCTTAAAATAATAATAATAAACCTCCCCGGTCATCACTGGCTACAGAGGGCTGTAAGGTCATGTGGATGGAGGACAGTTAGGATCCAGATATTTGTGCTGAGCCTAGATTGATTTGTGCAGTTTTTCGTGTATTTTGCTTATTGCCAAAACTTCTGACAGAAGCCCCTGGCATGCACAGCTCCAGGGAGTCTCTGTCCTCAGGTCTGTCCCAGCCTTCCAGTATGAATGTGGTGCCTGTGTGACAAAGAATCGGTGTCATTGTTAGTAACCCTTGGCTGTGCTTCTCCTGGGATGTCCCCAAGGACAGCAATCGAGCTGCTCAGGCCCCTCCCTGCCACAGAGTCCTGCTCCCAGGGGAGCTCCCTCTTACTTTTTCTACCCTACCCTCATTTCTCAGAGCTTCCGGGGGCACCCACCAACCTGGGCATCTCCAACATTGGTCCACGATCCGTGACCTTACAGTTCAGGCCCGGCTATGACGGAAAGACATCCATCTCCCGCTGGGTGGTGGAGGCTCAGGTAAAGCCTGCTAGAGGGGCCTCAGGCAGCCCTGTGAACAACCTGTAAGGCAGCAGTTTTCAGCCTGTGGGTCATGACCCCCATGGGGTCCCATATCAGATATCCTGCATATCAGATATTTATATTATGATTCATATGAGTAGCAGAATTATTATTATACATATATATATATATATATATACATATATATATATATATATATATATGCTAATAGCAAAATCATAGTGTATATATAGTGTATATGAAGTAGCAACAAAATTATTTTGTGGCTTGGGGTATGGGGTCACCACAACATGAGGAACTGTATTAAAGGGTCACGGCATGAAGAAGACTGAGAACCCCTGCAAGTCAGGGGGTTTCATTGAAGCTACAAATACCTGGTATATCAGCTGGTCTTGAAGTCAGGCCTTAAAATGTGTTTCTATCCAGCCTGCCATGATGTCCTAATGCAGGAGGACTCAGAGCTACCCTGCAGTCAGTTGTGTCTTTTTGGGTGGGATTGATGCCTACTAGGAGCTAGGGTTCAGAGCATCCCGCTTGACCGCAGCAAGTTGGACAAGTTTTAGGTTCCATTCTCCAGGTGGGCGTGATCGGGGAGGGAGAGGAATGGTTGCTGATCTACCAACTCGGCAATGAGCCTGATGCACGTTCTATGGAAGTGCCGGACCTCAACCCCTTCACCTACTACAGGTAGGCACAGGTGGGAGGGGCAGGGGAAGGGAGCCGGCAAGCCCCTCCATACCTTGCTCATTCCTTCTATCCCACCCCAGCTTCCGCATGCGCCAGGTGAACATCGTTGGCACCAGCCCACCCAGTCAACCCTCTAGAAAGATCCAGACCCTCCAGGCGCCCCCAGACATGGCCCCAGCCAATGTGACTCTGCGCACAGCCAGTGAGACCAGCTTGTGGCTCCGATGGATGGTAAGGCTCCCTCAGGGGCAGTGGGACATTCACAGGACAGTCCCCACTCTGTATCAATATGTTAGCCTCAAAGGTTACCAGTCAATTATCTACAATTCCTTACCTTTGGCTTAGGTTTGGGAATGCAGCTGCTTTGTTTGGTTTTTACCTTTTTTGCTTTGTTTTGTTTTTACTTCTTTTTTTTTTTATTTCTTCCTTACTAATCTGTAAGGTACCCATAGTTAATTGTGATCAAAGGAGATTAAAGAGCTAAAAGATACTTCGTATAGGTAGGGAGATAACTCAGTTATAAAGTGCTTGTTATACAAGCATGAAGACATGAGTTCAATCCCCCAGCACCAACCTAAAACAGCCAGCCATGTTAGCACCTTAACGCTAGGGAGGCAGAGACAGGAGGATGTAGAGAGACCCTCTTGTGTTTGTATGGATTTGACACCTATCAATAATAAATCTGGCTTACAGCTTAGGCAGGAAATAGGAGGTAGGACATCCAGTAGGCAGAAAGGATTCTGGGATAGAGCCAGACATGGTAGATTCGCCCAGGAAGATGTGACAAGACAGATGCTTGGTACCTGAGCACAGGTAACCAGCCACCTGGAAATGCAGATTAGAATAAATGGGTTATTTTAAGTTATGATCTAGTCAGAGAAGAGCCTACCTATATGGCCAAGGTATTTGTAAATATATTTTGAGTCTAAGTCTGATTTCTGGGAACATGAAGCTGGGAGGAAGAACTAGACCTTACTTCAACAGGAAGATTCTCTGGGGCTTGATGGACAGCCAGCCTCACCTAGCTGTCCAGTGGGAGGCCCTGTCTCAAGAAATATTAAATGCAGGGAAGCTACCTGTGGTGGCAAACATCCTTAATTCCAGCCCCGGATTAAAGGTGTGGATCTCTTTGAGTTCAAGGCCAACCACTGATACCTAGTAAGATTCTGTCTCAAAATAACAAAAAAGTAAAATAAATAAAGCAAAGTGGCTTCTGCACACACGCACACATGAACACACACACACAAAGGAGGGAGTCCAAGGGGCAGACATAAAATACTGCTGCTTACTAGAAGCATAAACGTCCTATCCATTGAACCCTTCCAGGAACCCTGTGAAGGACACACTCCCATCCTGATTTACAGCTAAGAACACGAAAGCTCAGAGAGATTAGGAACTCGCCCGTGGCCACAGGAGCAGCCACAAGGTGGACCTAGTGTTTAGAAACAGTTGGTCAGAGCACGCGCACCTGTTGCGGAGGTGGAAACTGGGAAGGGGCCAGTCCTTCAGGTCAGAGCTGAACTTCCTTTGAAGGTCACGCCCACAGTTGACCTGCAGGGTGTAACTTGCTGATGTGCTGTGACTTCCGGGCCATTCAGGGTTCTATTCTGGGTGACTTATTCAGACTCTGTCTTTAAAATGTTCTCATTAACCACAACAAAAGAATGAGACCTTACCCCAATTTGCATAAGAAGAAAGTGAGGTCACATAACTTCCCCAGGACCCCCACATCCTCCCACATTCCCCAAGTTAACAGCAAGAGACTGAGTCCCAAAATCCACAGCACTGGCCACTGAACACATTGCCTGTCTCTCAGCCAGGAACCAAAATATTGTCTCTCTCAGGGCACCCTGGGACAGGGCACCCCAGCAGAAGTCCTAGGCAGCAGTCTTAGAAACTTGTATAGCAAAGAAGGATAAGTCTGGCAATCGTGAACAAGAGTAGCAGCTGGCATCCTTTGGGAAACCCAGAACCCCGACAAAGAAAGCCATCTCGATGGTGCGCCCCCCGCCCCCACCTCTCACCACACAGTCCTTTGCCTCCAAGAGAGAGCGCTCATTGTTATGTAAACTAGTGTAAACCCTCGAGCACCACACAGGCCAAGAAGGAGCTGGTGGCTGAGAGGGGATTTGATAGCATGAACCCCCAACAGACACTGGTTATTAATTATGGCTCTTCTTCCAGGAGGCAGACCCAGAGCAACACTTTGGGGCTAGCCCAGTGGCCAAGGGCACTGTGAGTGTGTAAGTGGAACATACACAGCCTCCTGTGACCTCAACTTCAGCTCTTTGCTTCCCACTACCAGCTGATCACACACACACACACACACATACACACACACACACACTCTGTGATGGTCTCTGAAGGTTTCCAAACACAAAAGTTAAAGAATGGATTACTGGGGTGCTGTGGGGGATGGGAAGTCAACGGCTGTGCCATGCAGCCGCCTGCCTCATAATGATGCATGGCCTGTTACCTCTCCTTAACTAGTATTAGGGGAGTGGTACCAGGCCCACCTCAGCCTCTTGGGCCCATCCATTTCTGTCTGGACGATCTCTAGCCCGTGTCAGTTAAGTGTCTGTAGAGGGACGTGGAGGCGAGGGAAGGGTGAATGGGCAAGGAAGAAGCTACAAGGAGTTGGATAAAGTGGGTTTAAATAAATCATTCACTATGGATTATGGGCACTTGGAGCCCTAGGGAGGCAGAATGGAGGGGAGAAACTGCAGACACGCCAGCTTCAGAGGAGGAGTGGAAGCCAGATTCTCAGCTGGTGTCGTCTGCTTCAGGCCAAAGGCCCTCCTCCACCACCTACCAACCTTGCCAGATTCATCCAAACTTAAACCAGTAAGCAGGACCCATCCGTCCGGCTGAGTAATACAAACCAGGAAAAGAATCTGCCTTTTCTCATTGGTGAGACTCTAACCAGTAAGAGAAAGATGAAGTTCAGTGGGAGAGCCTGAGATTTGCTGAATAGCAGGACTTCCTGACAGTGACATGCATATAAGGTGACCATATAAGGACCCCTTCACTCCGGGTTCCCTCCTCCCAAGGGCAGCATGAGCGGAGACCAGGTGTCAGAGGCAATAAACAGTGTCTGTTGACAGGCAGAGTAAGGGAGTTAAACAGGAAGACATCAGAGCCCAAGGGCTCTGCTCATCAGTACATTGGGCAGACAGGTTTTGAGTCATCTGGAAAGGACCAGCCTCCAGGCAAGATTATAAGTCGGACTTGTGAATAACCAACAAAAATGTTGCTTCTCCTGGGAGTCCAGTGTGGAGAGCCAGGCAGGGAGACATGGACACAGTGTCACCAGCTCCAGCCCCACTTGGGATAGCGCCTCTTTTGGGTACTGGTTGCTCAACTGGTGGGTGGGAAAGAGGAAGCACAGAGTGGCCTCCCTCCTAATCCCTCATCTCTCTGGCCCTGCTCTACCCCAGCCCCTCCCAGAAATGGAATACAATGGCAACCCTGAGTCGGTGGGCTACAAGATCAAGTACAGCCGGTCTGACGGCCACGGCAAGACACTGAGCCACACGGTACAAGACCGAGTGGAGCGAGAGTACACTATTGAGGACCTGGAGGAGTGGACAGAGTACCGTGTCCAGGTCCAGGCCTTCAATGCCATCGGGAGCGGGCCCTGGAGCCAGGCGGTGGTGGGCAGGACCCGGGAATCAGGTACCACTGCACCTCTTCCTCTGGGACCATCCAAGAGCAGACCATGCTGCTGCCATTTCTACAGACAGCTTAGCAGCTGGCCTTTGCACTCACCCCATGGCAGAGCACCCTGCCAGATCTCTAGGTCCCCCAGTGCCGCCCCTCCCCTGTGACAGTCCCCACTCTTGGGAAGTTTATGGAAGAGCTAGGCAGTACTGGCTAGCTGTTCAAGCCTACCTACCCCAGCCCACTGCCCCACACTCAGCTTAAACCCCAACACCCAACAGAGGGATCGCAGAACATTCCAGAAACAAAACCTATCTCTCCTAAGGAGCCTAGAGAGGGGTCTTCACTCCTCGAATATGAGCCCTGATCCACAGGCAGCCCTCATTTGTCCAATTTGTGGTTCGTTGTGACACTTTTTATGTGTCGGATGTCTCCTCTACCCTCCCTGAGCCCCCAGCTCTGCCTTTCTTTGCTATGCAGGCTGGAAAGCAAGATCATCCAAAGTAATTCTGAAGCCGGGGTAGGCTGAATTGCTGAGCTCAAGGCCGGCCAAGCTATGTAATGATACCTTTTCTCAAAAACAAGTGAGGTAGACAGCAAGATGGCTCAGCCAGTAAAGACACCTGTCATACAAGCCTGATGACCTGACTTTGATCCCCAGAACACGTATAAAGATGGAAGAAGAATCAGTTTATCTATGAAGTTGTCCTCTGAGTTCCAAGTACACACTGGGACATGCATACACACCCACCATGAGTACACACAATAATAAAATAACAACAACAACAATAATAGTTACTCTGAACAGACAGAAATGAGGAGGGCCGGGCTGAGAATATAATTCAGTTAGTAGAATACATGCCCCAGCATAAGCTAGGCATAGTGATTGAAACCTCTAATCCCTGCACTTAGAGGGCTCCGAGAGGACTCCCAGGCCCAGTTCTGGCTGGTAGAAGGCAAACTCATCCCGCAGTGCCCAGATAGAGAGTCAGAAGTTTATGACCATTCCTGACAACGTAGTGAATTCAAAGCTAGCCTCGGGTACTCGAGACCCCGACTCCCACCTAACATCCTCAGAAAAGGGAGAAATAGCTGATCCCAGAAACCTTATCTGCAACATCCCCCAAACCACCATAGGATCGATTGAAGCTGTGGTCTGCATGTACTGTCTTTCTCCCACGGAGCTGGCAGCATGGAGCTGGCTCTTTGGTTGGCCCCACATCCTCGCTCTTCTTCCCACCACTAGGGGGAGGTGTCTCTGGGTCCTTATTCTTCCTTGTCACCCCTGTCTCCCACAGTCCCATCCTCTGGCCCCACCAACGTGTCAGCTCTGGCCACCACCTCTAGTAGCATGCTGGTCCGCTGGAGCGAGATCCCAGAGGCAGATCGAAATGGCCTCGTGCTGGGCTACAAGGTAGATGCTGGGATCCGAAGGGGGTGGGTTGCACCATATTCTCTAGCTCCCCCCACCCTCACTCAAGGTGTCCTGTCTTTGTCCTCCTTCCTCTGGATCTTTCTCTGTCTCACAGAGGCACAGGGTATCTGCCTAGCTTCCCATCCACCAGTCACCACAGCAACCAGGAAGTCCTCCTCTCTTAGGGATAGGGAGACATCCAGTGACTGACAGGGTCTTTCAGACTGCTCCCCCTCTTCCAGGAGGCTGATCTGGGAACCTCAGCCCTAAGGGATCCAGTCTGGTTTCTATTGTCTTCTAGAATTCCTTTCCAAACTGTTCTTGGTCATGTGACCATGTGACCGTGTGGTCATGTGACCATGTGACCATGTGGCCTAGCCTTAACTTGAAAGATGAGAATCATAGGATAATGTCGAATTTCTGTCACTATCACTCTGTAGCCTTAAGCAAGTCACTTTCGCTTGTGAGCCTATGGGGACTTCTAACTATGCAGCTGAGTCTTCCCATGTGTCTTAGACCTTCCAAGAACAGTAGCTTTGCAACTGACCCTTTGGAGCCAAGCCCCTCCAAGGGGCCCAGTGTTCCTGCCCCATCCCCCACCCTCTCTGGGAAGAGACTCCAGACAGAGGCCCTCTGTGTTGGCAACGGCAGGTGAGATACAAGGAGAAGGACTCAGACTCCCAGGCCCGGTTCTGGCTGGTAGAAGGCAACTCGTCCCGCAGTGCCCAGCTCACAGGCCTGGGAAAGTATGTGCTCTACGAGGTCCAGGTTCTGGCCTTCACACGCATCGGCGACGGCAGCCCTAGCCACCCTCCCATCCTGGAGCGGACACTGGATGATGGTAAGCCTACATCCCTGTGAGCCCAGAGGGTCTGCCCCTCATCCTGCCCCGCCCCCACAGGGATCCCCAGTCTCAGGATCCTCCTTTGAAAAACGAGGTCACCAGAGGCTACCAACTCACTGCAAGAGGATTCTATTCATAGCCAATAAGGGAATGTGGGGGAAAGGGCCAGGTAAGGCCAGTTGGATGTCTGACTCCACCTCATGGTCTCTCCCTAGGACAAGTAGACACTATAAAGATTTGGCAATGGGTTTGGTGGGGTTGGAGAGCTCCCACCTGGGGCAGGTCTCCTTTAGCAAAATCTATGAGAGTCTAATGCCTGGGCATGTGTCTCTTGGTCCTGTTTGTAAAACACTGGTACCAGAAGATCCCCATACACTGCAGAGTCCCCCGGTCTCAAGCTGACAGACAGAGAGGTCTCTACCCTCCATTCTCCCACACACAGCAAAATGGCCTAACCCACCACAAACACTTGCAAGGCCCAGACAAATGCGGAAGCAAGCCCCAGTATCATATGTCTGTATATTCTAACTATAAATCAAGCTAATGAGCTGTTAAATTAAATATGTTCTATCCTCCTGCCTTGACAAATACTCCCACATAATGACCTAGAAGGCCAAGTTTGAGTTTACACATCTCATCTCCTTGACATTGTGGACTGGAATGAAGTGTCACAGGAAGAGTGTTCCCCCTCTCTCCCCACTGCCACTAGATCCCACACGCTGTCCTCATCTCACCCCTCACCCCTTCCTCTCCTCCACACCAGTCAGAGTGCAACCACCCCCCCCCAAACACTTTTCCCCAGGCCATCCTCAGGGCACATAGGAGATGGATCTTGGGAACAAACCCATTCAGAGTCTGGGGGTACCCTCGGGCCCTCCCTGAGCTTCTAAATGCCAGGATTGCAGAGCCAGTGATGGAGAGAGGATTCCTGCAGTCAGGATAAGCACTTTCCAGCAGGTCACAGCTGGCCCTTCCAAAGCACAGACCAGGCCAGGGTCTGGAAGGTCCTGGGTGAAACTCTGGCTGAGGCTCCAGGATCATTCCAGCACAGACTTAAAAACCAAGAACACACGTCAGCCCATTCTGAGAGCCCATGCACAAACACACGAAGGGCAAAGAAGCTGGAGTCTGGGGCTCTCGCCAAATAACTAAGGCCTGTTTAGGGGGCGCACATACCCTATCTCACCTTCTAGGCCCTTTAAAATGACCCTGATTTTGAGGATAGATACCGTTTTGTGATTATTTGCTAAGAGGTATACTACACACGAACTCACTGAACTGATCCATTAACTTCCCCTCGATGCTCAGCCTGGCCTGGACTGGGTTAGAGACAGAACATCGGCCTCACCTTCTTCCTTCCGTCTCCTCCAGTCCCAGGCCCCCCCATGGGCATCCTGTTTCCAGAGGTGAGAACCACATCTGTGCGGCTCATCTGGCAGCCCCCTGCAGCCCCCAACGGCATCATTCTGGGTAAGTCTGCCTCTTTCCTGTGCCCTTCCTAGGAAAGGAAGAAGAGGTATCGTGATGGGAAAAAAAAAAAAAAAAAAAGCCAAGATGGGACCGGCCTAGGAAGTGTCCACAGCTTCTGAAACATAGGATTTGACATGTCAGTCAACCCCAGCACTTGAGAGGCTGAAACAAGATAAATAAAAATGAAATAAATATTCTTCAAATTTGTAATTAAATAAACTCGTGAATATACACACCATGATGGTACAAGGTTGGTCTACCTGTACCTACCTCTGTCTTGGGCTCGTCCTGGAAGAAGACATAATGATGGCATGTATCAAGTCCTTTAGACTAGAAAGCACCAGGCTATTGGTCTAGAGCCACCACTTGCTAGCAGGTGACTTAGCCTCTCTCCACCTCATGTAAACTGATGTAGGGGTCTAAGACACTACGCATTGAACCCCTTATCCCCACCAAAGTCCACATTCCTCAACCATAGCTAAAGGTGTAAGAGCGACCAGAAGAGTGTCACACAGCCAAGCAAAAACCAGGGGCCCTGATTGCATGCGTTTCTGCAGCCACAGAGATGGGTCCTCTCACAGAACAGCCCCTGAGGCTGCTGGATCTGCCGTCCACCTTTACCCTTTACCTTTCTTCCCACAGCCTACCAGATCACACACCGGCTCAATGCCACTACAGCCAACACCGCCACAGTGGAGGTCCTGGCACCCAGCGCCCGCCAGTACATGGCCACAGGCCTCAAGCCAGAGTCGGTCTACCTATTCCGTATCACAGCCCAAACCCGCAAAGGCTGGGGAGAGGCTGCTGAGGCCTTGGTAGTGACGACAGAGAAGAGAGGTGACTGCCCATGGGGCTGGGGAGGCCTGGGGAGCTGAAGAGGGCTTCTGGAGCCCACAGAGGGGCTTAGCACCCCTCCTAGTGGGTGACTGGGAGATGCATTGAGGAACAGCACTGCTTTAGTCTAGAAAAGAGAATGGATTCCAATCTTGGAGTTAAGGCCAGTGAAGGATCATGCCATGTCACAAAGCTGGACTGGGATTTCCCAGGATCCTACTCTGTTCCAGGTTTCTAAAGGACAAGTGAAGGCTGAGGCATAGCTAAACTGAAAGAGTGCTTGCCTAACATACATGAAGCCATGGGTTCAAGTCCCAGAATGGCATAAACCAAATATGGCGATGCATGCCTGTAATCCTAGCACTTGGGAGATCCAAGCAGGAAGATCGGGAGTTCGAGGTCAGCCTCAGCTACATAGCAAGTTCGAGGGCAGACTATCATATGAGAGATCCTGTCAAAACAAAGAAGATGGTTGGTGATCGTCCTCCAACGCCCCCTAGTCCCCTCACATCCCTATCCTCACCCCTTATCCTGGGCTAGAGCCTGCAGTCTGAGCTGCCACTACCTCAGGGCCCTGAGCAGGCACATTGAGAGTGGGCTTCCTAGATGCAAGCCTGAGCCCCCAGTTGGGTTGAAAGGTGACCTGTTAGAAAATGTCCCCAAGTTGGGGGTGGGGGGACAGTACACATGACAGTAAGACAGTGAATTTCCTCCAAGGGCTTCTTTGCTCTTAGGAAATATGGCTAGATCCGGAGGAAGATGCTCCTAGCCTTGAGCAGGTCTCGGGGGGCAGAGGGCAGGAGGGGGTCCATAAAGCATCCCGCAATCACAAAGCAACCCTACTGCAAAGAAGCATCAAATCCAAGGCCAAGAACACTGAGGCTTGGCAGCCTGTCACCTGGGGTAGGAAAGTGGCTAATGAAAGAGGAAAGTGGAGCAGGAGGATGACGGAAATGAACTCCCACAGGGAAGCATGGCCCACTCCCACTCAGTCTGGCACAAGGCAGGACCTATCTCCATCATAAGCAAAAGCAAAAGTGTCAACAAGTCCTCCACCGGGGAGGCATGACTCTCCAGGCACCTAGGACCTCTGAAGCTGAGGGCAGGTCTTACCTGAAGACTCATGTGTTATCTGCTGGCAGAAACCATGCAAGGCCCGCAGAGATGGAAGTAAAATAGAGAGGGGATGTCTGTCCCAAGTTCAGAACACCTTCGCACTGCCCTGGAGAAAGGGCAGCCCCTCCACCATCACCCTAATCAGGCTGTCTCACCTATTCCCTGCCCTGCCTCCCAGACCGGCCACAGCCCCCTAGCAAGCCTGTGATACAGCAGGAAGACGTGAAAGCACGCAGCGTGCTGCTATCCTGGGAGCCAGGCAGCGATGGGCTCTCCCCAGTACGCTACTACACCATCCAGACGCGGGAGCTGCCCAGCGGCAGGTGGGCACTGCACTCAGCCTCCGTGAGCCACAATGCCTCCGCCTTCACTGTGGACAGGTAAGGTGGGGTCCACACCCACTTCTCTACTGGAGACCTCACGTGATCCTTGCAGGAGGGAGGGGGCTTCTGAGAGCACCTTCAGCCGGTCATCCAAGTCTTCCTCAGCTGGCCCCACCAGCCACAATCACCCCTTCCTACTCTCCCCCTGTCCCTGGGAAGCCCATTAGGGTTGCCTCTTAATTATCTGTGGAGCCTGGCCAGGCCCCCTTAGTGAAGCACTTGCCACTCTTCATTAACGATTCTCCCAACAGCCCATGTTCTCCTCCCATCTTTGATAGAAGTACGAAGCTCCTCTCCAAAACCCTGGCCTCGATTTAATCCCCGGTGGTTGTATTTTTTATACTCCAATCTACGTGACCTGGAACTTGAACAAGCCTTCCCTCTCCCGCCCCCAGCCCTGTAAATGAAGAAGACGTTCTGCTGGGAAGAAAATGAGGCTCACAGAGACCATATTCCTTATCTCTGGGGGACCTACACACACACACACACACACACACACACACACACACACACACACTTAAAAATTCCCTAACTTCAGGAAAAGACTTGTAGCTTGCAGGGTACTGTGCATACGATTGTGTGGAGAGGGAAGTATGGATATTTTCATGGCCACCAGAACATGGGTAAACATGAGACTGGAGATGTATGGCTTACTGCGGTGATATACACCCTACGCAGGGATGGTATGGGACCTAGGCACTCAGCATCTCAGGGCCTGTCCCAATGTGACCCCCTCCTAAGCCTCCAGGTTTTCCTCTGCGTCATGTGTCAGCACTCAAGCCGCTCCTGCTCCCCAGTTTCCCCTCCTCAAGCAGAAATAGATGGGACTCCACGGTAGAGGTGTTGGCGTGGGTCTTGAGAGACAACGTGTCAATCAGACTTGTCATCCAGGAGTGACAAACTCCTGGAGGAAGCAACTTATAGGGGGAGGGATTTGTCTGGGAACACAATCAAAGAGGTTTCAGCCTGAGGCCAACTGGGTCTGTTGTTTTGGGCCAGTGGAGCATATGGCAGAGGCTCACGGTGCCCAGGAAACAGACCTAGAGGAAGGGCCAGAGGATGTAAGAGGATGTAAGCATGTCCCAGTGATGCATTTCCTCAACCAAAGCCACACTTCCTGAAGTTTCAGTTTCTCAAAACGATCGTACGCATTGGGACCCAAGTCTTCAACAGCCTGTGGGGATCGTTCATACTCAAATCACAGTTGGCACCTTGGTCATTGGTCTGTAACTCCCTCCACAGACTCAAACCCTTTACATCCTACAAGTTCCGAGTGAAGGCGACCAACGACATCGGGGACAGCGAGTTCAGTGAGGAATCAGAGTCGCTGACCACCCTGCAGGCAGGTCAGTGCCATCTCCCTGCTTGGGCCTCTTGCTCCTGACCCTGGTTGCTCCCTGGACATGAAAGTTCTTCTGTGGGTGGAGCCTCTGACAGTGAGAGATGGCTCACTAGACCTGCTAGGCCTGTCCACCTCCAGGCCAGAATGCCCAGAGGTTGGGGACAAAAGGGATTTTGACCAGGGCTCAGGGTCCTAAACCCAGCCTAGAATTTGAGTGCATTTCTTCTCCAGTGGTCCTCCAGCTAGCCGGAAGTGGGGGTAGATGCCCACCCTGACCCTGCACCTAACAGCAACCTAAGTTCTATGGCTTTGAAAAGCTCTAAGACCCTAGGTTTGGGCTAAGATCAGGTCTTTACCTCACCCTAGCTGTGTGCTATGAGGAAATTGGGTGGGTGGGTCTCCAGGATAACTTAAGCAGGACCTGCCTACCCAAACAATGTCAGCAGAATCTGGTCCCTGTGTGTTTCTGGGTGGTGCTGACACTCTGGGTCCCAGAGTCCACTCCTCTGCCTCTCTTCACAGCCCCAGATGAGGCACCCACCATCCTGTCGGTGACTCCCCACACCACCACCTCTGTGCTAATCCGATGGCAGGTAAGGCTTGGTAGACAAGGTGGGTTCATTCCCAAGGACTCAGATAAACTCTTGGCTGGGACCAGAAAATCCACCAGTCCTCACCAGGGCTGCGTCAGCCTTTTTTCTATACCCCCAGAGCACAGGGAAAGGTGGGGAATGGGATGCGGGGGACATAAAGGTGTATGCACGTCACAGAGTGTGGCCATGGGTCACAGAGTCCAAGTGACAGGGTTAGCTTCATGACCCATTGAATCTGTATGCAGAAAAGCACATGGGGGTTCTGAGAACTCCCCAAGGCTCCATAAAATTCTGACCCAGAGGTCAGTAACAGGCTTCCCAACAGAGACCTGTGACCTTCCTCATTAGCTGGATCCTCTTGTGTAGGTCAGTCTCTCCCAGGTACCTGCTCTATAGTGAGAAATGTTTGTTCTGAGGTGACCTCAGCTATCATACTTACTGCCTGTCAATTCTTGGGCTCAGCAGGTCACCCACAGAAGCCCTTATATAGGTAGGAGCTAGCTAGCTGCTGTCCCTACTTCTCAGGATCTGAGGAATGGGCCCAGCAGCAATCCTTGTGCAGCTAAGGCCTGGGGTCCTAGAGGGGACACCCCCTAAGTGGAAATGACCTGGCAACCTCTCATGAGCCAGAAGAGGCTGGAACAGATGGGATACCTGGACCAAAGGGCCAGGTGATACCTATGGCAGCCAGGGAAGCAATGAAGGGGCTAAGAAAAAGCCTGAACCATTTCAACAGATGTCTTAAAGGAGGATTGTCAAGAAAACAGTTTCCACTTGGCAAAAAGCCCGTCCTCCAGCTCAGCCGAGGACAAGGACAGAAAGCAAAGGAGGAAAGAGAGGACATTCACATGGGCGTGCTTATCCTAGTGTAGGCCAAGGGCTCAGCTCATAGGAAACACCAGGATGACCACAAGGTGCTCGGCAGAGAGCACCAGCCCTGCGGGGAGGCCAGAAGTGGGGCACAGGGTTTCTGGACAAGCAATGGCTGCTGATTCCAGGGGTGTGTTTTCAAGTCTTATTTCTGCTGTGTGACCATGGGCAAGTACCTTTGTGTCTCTGAGGGAGTTTCCTGCTCTGCTGAAGGGGGCTTGCATGGTGACTCCTGCCCTTCTCCCACCTCAAAGAGACCATAACGACCTCTTTGGAAATGCCTGCCCCATCCCAATTTTTTTCCTGGTTGGGACCCAGTCCCTGCTGTGAGGCTGCAGGAGGTGTGGTGGACAGAGATGGGGTGGAGTGAGATGTGCCATAGTCAAGGCCCCTCCCCGTGTTTGACCCTCCTGCCTGTAGCCTCCGTCTGAGGACAAGATCAACGGCATCCTCTTGGGCTTCCGAATCCGGTACCGGGAGCTGCTCTATGACGGGCTGAGGGGCTTCACTCTTCGAGGCATCAACAACCCCGGGGCCAAGTGGGCTGAGCTCACCTGTGAGTAGCATTTCCCGGGCCTTAGGGAGGGTAGGGGTGGGCACGCTCACCTGTCCGATCTGCCGCTCCCCGTCTCCTTGACTCTGCTAACCTGCAACCCTGCCTGCCTCCCTCCCTCTCCTCGTGTTCCTCTTCTTACCCCGTTCATTCACTTGCTGAATGTTTACTGAGCACCATCTACATACTCCAAGACACTCTGGGCACACCAGTAGTTAAACAGAACGGTCCCTGACCTCTTCTTTCAGTCTGATGGAAGAAGCATCAGGCATTCAATAAGTCAGCCCTGAAATAGATGTCAATAGTCATCGACATGACAGGGGGAGAATGTTCCAGAAGAGTTACAAAAGGCTCTCTTGACATGGAAGAGTGATTGCAGGTTAGGCAGGTGAATGTGCAGAGGGAGGAGCCATCAGCCTCAACATCGAGACCCCTACCAAGAACACCAGTCAAGATCCCTCCTATTCCCCAGAAGTCACCACTCAGACCCTAGGGCCAAAGAAGCCAGCCTTCAAGTATAGGAGAAGCAGAGAAAAGGGAGACATTTAGGGGAGAAATCCCAGGGAGAGAGGATGCTGGGAAAGCCATGAGCAAGAAAAGGGTGTGCATAGACTTTGTAGGACACACGGGGGAGCATGGAGGTGATGCACTGGCCATAGGAGGTGTGACAGGGAGAGAGGCAAGGAGGCTGTGGTGTTAACATAGCAAAAGAGCCCAAGGCTGAGTCAAGGAAGTAGGCTAGGTATGCCGTAAGTGTGGGACCTCCGTGTCTGTTCCGGGAAGGGAGAGGGAGGCAGGCAGGAAAGAGGAGGGCTTGTAGAGGATTAGGAAGGGTTGCTACACTGTTCACAAAAGAGAAATTAGCAGAAGAGAGGAGACAGCCTGGGTCCCTGTGGGCTACGCTGCTGCTTCCCACAGCTCCCCTCCCAAGCTTGTGCAGCCATGGCTTCCAGGGATGATCGCAGACAAAATGATTGAGCACAGAGCAAGGGATAGGAATCGAACGAGACCCGCAGAAATACCCGACCCAACGGCTCGTGTTACATTTATTTATTTATTTATTTATTTATTTATTTATTTATTTATTTATTT